GACTAGAGTCTAGTCTATACTCTAGACAAGAGTCTAGTCTATACTCTAGACTAGAGTCTAGTCTATACTCTAGACAAGAGTCTTGTCTATACTCTAGACTAGAGTCTAGTCTATACTCTAGACTAGAGTTTAGTCTATACTCTAGACTAGAGTCTAGTCTATACTCTAGACTACAGTCTAGTCTATACTCTAGACTAGAGCCTAGTCTATACTCTAGACAAGAGTCTTGTCTATACTCTAGACTAGGGTCTAGTCTATACTCTAGACTAGAGTCTAGTCTATACTCTAGACTAGAGTCTAGTCTATACTCTAGACTAGAGTCTAGTCTATACTCTAGACTAGAGCCTAGGCTTGTCTATACTCTAGACTAGGGTCTAGTCTATACTCTAGACTAGAGTCTAGTCTATACTCTAGACTAGAGTCTAGTCTATACTCTAGACTAGAGTCTAGTCTATACTCTAGACTAGAGTCTAGTCTATACTCTAGACTAGAGTCTAGTCTATACTCTAGACTAGAGTCTAGTCTATACTCTAGACTAGAGTCTAGTCTATATTCTAGACTACAGTCTAGTCTATACTCTAGACTAGGGTCTAGTCTATACTCTAGACTAGAGTCTAGTCTATACTCTAGACTAGAGTCTAGTCTATACTCTAGACTAGAGTCTAGTCTATACTCTAGACAAGAGTCTTGTCTATACTCTAGACTAGGGTCTAGTCTATACTCTAGACTAGAGTCTAGTCTATACTCTAGACTAGAGTCTAGTCTATACTCTAGACTAGAGTCTAGTCTATACTCTAGACTAGAGTCTAGTCTATACTCTAGACTAGAGTCTAGTCTATACTCTAGACTAGAGTCTAGTCTATACTCTAGACTAGAGTCTAGTCTATACTCTAGACTAGAGTCTAGTCTATACTCTAGACTCTAGACTAGAGTCTAGTCCATACTCTAGACTAGAGTCTAGTCTATACTCTAGACTAGAGTCTAGTCTATACTCTAGACTAGAGTCTAGTCTATACTCTAGACTAGAGCCTAGTCTAGACTACAGTCTAGTCTATACTCTAGACTAGACTGTAGTCTATACTCTAGACTAGAGTCTAGTCTATACTCTAGACTAGAGTCTAGTAAATACTCTAGACTAGAGTCTAGTCTATACTCTAGACTAGAGTCTAGTCTATACTCTAGACTAGAGTCTAGTCTATACTCTAGACTAGAGCCTAGTCTAGACTACAGTCTAGTCTATACTCTAGACTAGAGTCTAGTCAATACTCTAGACAAGAGTCTAGTCTATACTCTAGACTAGAGTCTAGTCTATACTCTAGACAAGAGTCTAGTCTATACTCTAGACTAGAGTCTAGTCTATACTCTAGACTAGAGTCTAGTCTATACTCTAGACTAGAGTCTAGTCTATACTCTAGACTAGAGTTTAGTCTATACTCTAGACTAGAGTCTAGTCTATACTCTAGACTAGAGTCTAGTCTATACTCTAGACTAGAGTCTAGTCTATACTCTAGACTAGAGTCTAGTCTATACTCTAGACTAGAGTCTAGTCTACTCTAGACTAGTCTAGTTACTCTAGACTAGAGTCTAGTCTATACTCTAGACTAGAGTCTATACTCTAGACTAGACTAGAGTCTAGTCTATACTCTAGACTAGAGTCTAGTCTATACTCTATACTAGACTAGAGTCTAGTCTATACTCTAGACTAGAGTCTAGTCTATACTATAGACTAGACTAGAGTCTAGTCTATACTCTAGACTAGAGTCTAGTCTATACTCTAGACTAGAGTCTGGTCTGTACTCTAGACTAGAGTCTAGTCTATACTATAGATTAGACTCTAGACTATACTCTAGGATAGAGTCTAGTCTATTCTCTAGACTAGAGTCTAGTCAATACTCTTGACTAGAGTCTCTTCTATAATATATAGTAAAGTCTATATTTAATACTAGAGTCTATTCTGTAGGCTAGACTAAAGTCTATTCTGTAGTATAGACTAGAGTATATTCTGCAGTCTAGACTAGTCTAGTCTCTGCTGTGGACTAGAGTCTAATCTATGCTGTAGACTAGAGTCTAGTCTATACTCTATACTATAGACTAGAGTCTAGTCTATACTCTAGACAAGAGTCTCTTCTATAATATATAGTAAAGTCTATATTTAATACTAGAGTCTATTCTGTAGACTAGACTAAAGTCTATTCTGTAGTATAGACTAGAGTATATTCTGTAGTCTAGACTAGTCTAGTCTCTGCTCTGGACTAGAGTCTAATCTATACTGTAGACTAGAGTCTAGTCTATACTCTATACTATAGACTAGAGTCTAGTCTATACTCAAGAATAGAGTCTATTCTACACTCTAGACTAGAGTCTAGTCTATACTCCAGACTAGAACTTAGTTTAAACTGTAGACTAGAGTCCAGTCTATACTCTAGACTAGATAATAGTCTATACTTTAGACTAGAGTCTAGTCTATACTCTTGGCTAGAGTCTATTCTATAATCTACAGTCTAGTCTCTATTTAGTACTAGATTATAGTCTGTACTTTAGACTACAACCTAGTCTATAGTCTAGACTATAGTGATGTCTATACTCTAGATTATAATCTAGTTTACATTATAGACTATTGTCTAGTCTGCCCTCTAGTCTATTCTATACTCTAGATTAAAGTATAGTATATACTTTTGACTAGAGTCTAGTTTATACTGTAGATTATAATCTAATCTATACTCTAGTCTAGAGTAAAGACGATAATCTAGACTGCAGTTTAGCCTATGCTCTAGACTAACAACTAACAACCATTTCCAAGACCAGTCTTGTCCACTAAACTTTGTTTTTTAAAAAATATTTTACTATAATTTGCCCTGTTAAGTTGTTTTTAAGGATTCTTTACTTTTTTAATTTAACACCTAACTCTATTATCTAGTCCTTGCTAATATTGTTTTTATACTCATACCCATGTTAATTTTATATAAATACACATATAATTAAGTTTTAGTTTATTTAAACCCTTTCAAATAAATTAAAAGTTTTCAATTATTGTTTTTTTCCCCAATTGTTTTACAAATGTACAAATTTCGCAAAATTTAATATTAAGTCAAATTTATTAATTAAGTTACTCAAAATTTATAAAAACTTAAAAAACAAAAAACCATAAAAGATTTAAATAAAAACCAAAAAAAAAGTTATTTTTTATACAAAAACTATGAAAATTGTTTAATGATTTATTAAAAGGCAGAAGGACAGACATGTGTAAGTAAAATGTTGGGGTGTTAAAGGCGTGACAATGTAAGGCCTCTCTAATTATAATGTATTGCTGTAGTTAACGTTTCAATTGAAGTCAATTATAAAGGTGTTGCTAACTGCTTACGTTTTCTATTAGATGTTAAGTTATGATTACAGGTTTTAAAGAAACTCACCATTCATTAATATTAATTTCACATGGACTATGCGCCTCTCTTATGAAAAATAATGTGAATAAAGTCTATAGTTTAGTCTGTGGTCTAGTCTATAGTCTAGTCTATAGTCTAGTCTATAGTCTAGTCTATAGTCTAGTCTATAGTATAGTCTAGTCTATAGTCTAGTCTATAGTAGTCTAGTCTATAGTCTAGTCTATAGTCTAGTCTATAGTCTAGTCTATAGTCTAGTCTATAGTCTAGTCTATAGTCTAGTCTATAGTCTAGTCTATAGTCTAGTCTATAGTCTAGTCTATAGTCTAGTCTATAGTCTAGTCTATAGTCTAGTCTATAGTCTAGTCTATAGTCTAGTCTATAGTCTAGTCTATAGTCTAGTCTATAGTCTAGTCTATAGTCTAGTCTATAGTCTAGTCTATAGTCTAGTCTATAGTCTAGTCTATAGTCTAGTCTATAGTCTAGTCTATAGTCTAGTCTATAGTCTAGTCTATAGTCTAGTCTATAGTCTAGTCTATAGTCTAGTCTATAGTCTAGTCTATAGTCTAGTCTATAGTCTAGTCTATAGTCTAGTCTATAGTCTAGTCTATAGTCTAGTCTATAGTCTAGTCTATAGTCTAGTCTATAGTCTAGTCTATAGTCTAGTCTATAGTCTAGTCTATAGTCTAGTCTATAGTCTAGTCTATAGTCTAGTCTATAGTCTAGTCTATAGTCTAGTCTATAGTCTAGTCTATAGTCTAGTCTATAGTCTAGTCTATAGTCTAGTCTATAGTCTAGTCTATAGTCTAGTCTATAGTCTAGTCTATAGTCTAGTCTATAGTCTAGTCTATAGTCTAGTCTATAGTCTAGTCTATAGTCTAGTCTATAGTCTAGTCTATAGTCTAGTCTATAGTCTAGTCTATAGTCTAGTCTATAGTCTAGTCTATAGTCTAGTCTATAGTCTAGTCTATAGTCTAGTCTATAGTCTAGTCTATAGTCTAGTCTATAGTCTAGTCTATAGTCTAGTCTATAGTCTACTCTATAGTCTAGTCTATAGTCTAGTCTATAGTCTAGTCTACAGTCTAGTCTATAGTCTAGTCTATAGTCTAGTCTATAGTCTAGTTTATAGTCTAGTCTATAGTCTAGTCTATAGTCTAGTCTATAGTCTAGTTTATAGTCTAGTCTAAAGTCTAGTCTATAGTCTAGTCTATATTCTAGTCTATAGTCTAGTCTATAGTCTAGTCTAGTCTATAGTCTAGTCTATAGTCTAGTCTATAGTCTAGTCTATAGTCTAGTCTAGTCTATAGTCTAGTCTATAGTGTAGTCTGTAGTCTAGTCTATAGTATAATCTTGTCTATAGACTGTATTCTATAACTTCTATAACATCTAGCGTTGCTATATTACCACTAACGTCTCTTTAGGGACCAACAAGAGGTATATTTGTTAATTAGTAGGTGGTGACAGCTGTTTAAGTTTCCTATTATCCGGTAAATTGTTATTACAGGTTTTGGGCCAAAACTCTTTTTGATTAATTTTTCTTTCACATACGCTACGCCCACTCTTAACAATGTTTTTTTGCAAAACTAATTAAGACAATAAAAACTACAAATCACATGCAAAATGTCAAACATTAATCAAAAAGTCTTCGTCCTTTACATCATGTGGTTCGGTAGATATTGATACGACAGCAAAACCTATCAGGCTACACGCGAAGCAACCGAAACTATCTTCAAAATCTTACTCTATATGGGTCTACAGAAACCTCAGAAGTGGAAGCCTCTCTATTATTTCTATTCATTGTTAATAAATCTAAGTGTTTGTGTCCTTCTGCCTACATCCTTCATGTTGAGCTACTTTTTCGAATACCATAACATGACCACGGTGCAATTATTAAATTCACTTCAAGTGTCGGTGAATGCGTGTTGTTTACCAGCCAAAGTTTTAACTATGCAAATTTCATTAAAATATCTACATCGGGGCATGGATATTATGGATACTTTAGATAAACGCTGTCAACGTCCGGATGAAAAGAAAAAACTGAGTCATTGTGCCATCTTTGGCAATCGTCTGTCAGTATTTCATGCAACCCTATATTGCTTTTTTGCGGCTGTTTCAGTGATAACTTCGGTAATAATGGGTCAAGCACCGTATTCCATGTACATTCCCAACACAGATTGGAAAACTTCTACGATGACCTTCGCACTACAATCTTTCTTTGAATATGTGATAATGAATGCGGTGTGTCTGCATCAGGTTATAGTGGATTCTTATAGTGTTGTCTATATCTATGTTATACGTACTCATATGCAGATTTTGGTGGAACGTGTCAGGAGCTTAGGTACCGATCCGAAAACTAGTAATGATAAGCATTATGAGGAGTTGTTGTTATGTGTTAAGGATCATCAGGAATTGTTAAGGTAATTAGTGAAAGTTTTGACTGTTTCAAAGAAATATAGTTGTAGATTACAGTTGAGACTTTGATGTGGGCATTGGTCAGGCAATATTATAGAAGACTATAGACTAGACTCTAGACAAGAATATAGACTGGACTGTAAACTGGACTATAGACTATACTATAGAATATACTATAGACTACACTATAGAATAGACTAGACTATAGACTAGACTATAGACTAGACTATAGACTAGACTATAGACTAGACTATAGACTAGACTATAGACTAGACTATAGACTAGACTATAGACTAGACTATAGACTAGACTAGACTACTATAGACTAGACTATAGACTAGACTATAGACTAGACTATAGACTAGACTATAGACTAGACTATAGACTAGACTATAGACTAGACTATAGACTAGACTATAGACTAGACTATAGACTAGACTATAGACTAGACTATAGACTAGACTATAGACTAGACTATAGACTAGACTATAGACTAGACTATAGACTAGACTATAGACTAGACTATAGACTAGACTATAGACTAGACTATAGACTAGACTAGACTATAGACTAGACTATAGACTAGACTATAGACTAGACTATAGACTAGACTATAGACTAGACTATAGACTAGACTATATACCAGACTATAGACTAGAATTTAGAATAGAATTTAGAATAGACTATGTATTAGATTATAGACTAGATTGTAGACCCTACAACTATATTCCAATTAATAGGCTAAATGATAGTCTTCCCTATAGACTACACTGTTGTCCAGACTAGACAGTAGTCCGTAGTTCAATCTACAGACTAAAAAATTTTTACGAAATTATAACTTTTCCACAGAAAAGTTCTGCAGATTTCAAATGTATCATAACTTTCTTTACAGATTAGTAGCAGTTATCAGTCCCGTCATTTCGAAAACCATCTTTATACAATTTCTGGTTACCGCCGCCATTTTGGGCATTACTTTAATTAATAATTTTATTTTTGCCGACTTTTCTTCTCAAATTTCTTGTTCACTTTATTTTCTAGTGATTATGGTACAAATATCGCCCTGTTGCTATCAAGCCACTTTTCTCCTAGCGGATAGCGAACAGTTATCGTTGGCCATTTTCCACTGTGAATGGATTGATAAAGATGTACGTTTTCGTAAAATGTTGATATTTTTTATGATGCGTTCTCAGAATCCTATAACTTTGAAGGCTATGAAATTATTTCCTATAACTTTGAGAACCAGTTTGGCGGTGAGTCGGAAATTTGATGTGATCGATTTTGAAATACTAGAATTATGTGTGGGTTTTTTTCTTACAGATTGCGAAATTTTCATTTTCGTTGTATACTGTGATCAAGGAAATGGATTTTGGTAAAAACTTAAGGCAGTAGAGGAAATGTGTCCTGAAATTACAGATGTGCAATGGAATAGTCTTGTAGTTCTAATGTAGTTTTGATGTATTATCCTAATAAAAGTAGTTCTATGTAGTCCACACTATAGACTAGACTGTAGACCAGACTATAATTCTGCCAAAACATCAGCCCAGAGTATAGACTAGAATATATTTCAGACTATAGAATAAACTATTGTCCAGTCCAAACTATAGTGTTTGATCAAGCAATGCATCCTTAACTAGTTATCCAATCTATTGCAATAACACTTACATTAGGAACTAACAGATGCTATAGTTTTCAATTAAAAGTTAGTGACAGCTGTATAAGTTTCCTATTAGCCGATAAATTATGATTACAGGTTTTGGGCAAACCTGTTTTTTGTAATTAATTTTCTCACACAGACTACTCCCACTGTCTAAATATATTTTGCACAGTCAATCAATACAAAACAATCAAATCCACATATAACATTTAAAATCAAACATTAAAACCCTTCATATTAGGCAACATGTGGTTCGCTAGATATTGGTTTGGCCGCCTCAAGACTTACCACGCTACTCGACAAGCCACCGATTCTGTATTCAAAATCTTTTTTTATATGGGCCTACAGGAGCCACAGAAATGGAAACCACTCTATTGTATCTATTCAATGCTAATGCGTCTAAGTGTTTGTGTGTTTGTGCCCATATCCTTCTGTTTGAGTTACTTTTTCGAACACAGCAAAATGTCTGTGATACAATTATTGACCTCACTTCAAGTGGCCATAAACGTTATTGATTTACCAGCGAAAATTCTAGCAATTTCAGTGTCATTTAAACGTTTACGCCTAGCCATGGATGTTATGGACAAATTAGATGAACGCTGTCAACGTTCAGATGAAAAGGAAAAGCTAAGTCATTGTGCTACGATTGGTAATCGTTTAGCCATATTTTACATAACCGTCTATTACTTGTATGCAGCGGTTACTATGTAGACATCGGTAATTATGGGACAACCTCCTTATTCTTTGTATATGCCAAAAATGGATTGGCGTAATTCTATGTTGACATTTGCTATTCAATCATTCCTTGAATATATGATAATGAATATAGTGTGTCTGCATCAAGCTGGTATAGATGTTTATACTGTTATTTATATATATGTTATACGCACTCATATGCAGATACTGTTAGAACGTGTCAACAGATTGGGTACCGATAAGAAAACCACCAATGATACAGACTATGAAGATTTGGTAATGTGTATTAAGGATCATCAGGAACTGTTAAGGTAACAACTTAGAAACTTATAGAAAAATTGAGTTTTGCGAAAAAACATTTTCGAAACAAATTAATTAGACTATAATTTAGTCATTTGGCAGTTTGGCCTATAGATTAATCTATAGTCTGGACTATAGTCTAGTCTATCCTCTGTACTATAGTCTAGTCTGTAGTCTGGACTATAGTCTAGTCTATAGTCTGAACTATAGTCTAGTCTATAGTCTGGACTATAGACTATAGACTGGACTATAGTCTAGTCTATAGTCTGGACTATAGTCTAGTCTATAGTCTGGACTATAGTCTAGTCTATAGTCTGGACTATAGTCTAGTCTATAGTCTGGACTATAGTCTAGTCTATAGTCTGGACTATAGTCTAGTCTATAGTCTGGACTATAGTCTAGTCTATAGTCTGGACTATAGTCCAGTCTATAGTCTGGACTATAGTCTATTCTATAGTCTGGACTACAGTCTACTCTATAGTCTGGACTACAGTCTGGTCTATAGTCGGGACTATAGTCTAGTCTATAGTCTGGACTATAGTCTAGTCTATAGTCTGGACTATAGTCTAGTCTATAGTCTGGACTATAGTCTAGTCTATAGTCTGGACTATAGTCTAGTCTATAGTCTGGACTATAGTCTAGTCTATAGTCTGGACTATAGTCTAGTCTATAGTCTGGACTATAGTCTAGTCTATAGTCTGGACTATAGTCTAGTCTATAGTCTGGACTATAGTCTAGTCTATAGTCTGGACTATAGTCTAGTCTATAGTCTGGACTATAGTCTAGTCTATAGTCCGGACTATAGTCTAGTCTATAGTCTGGACTATAGTCTAGTCTATAGTCTGGACTATAGTCTAGTCTATAGTCGGGACTATAGTCTAGTCTATAGTCTGGAATATAGACTAGTCTATAGTCTGGAATATAGACTAGTCTATAGTCTGGACTATAGTTTGGACTATAGTCTAGCCTATAGCCTGGACTATAGTCTAGCCTATAGCCTGGACTATAGTCTAGCCTATAGTCTGGGCTATAGTCTAGTCTACAGTCTGGACTATAGTCTAGTCTATAGTCTGAGATATAGTCTGGACTATAGTCTAGTCTATAGTCTGTACTATAGTCTAGTCTATAGTCTGGTCTATAGTTTAGTCTATAGTCTAGTCTATAGTCTGGTCTATAGTCTAGTCTATAGTCTGGACTATAGTCTAGTCTATAGTCTAGACTATAGTCTAGTCTATAGTCGGGGCTATAGTCTAGTCTATAGTCGGGACTATAGTCTAGTCTATAGTCGGGACTATAGTCTAGTCTATAGTCTGGACAACAGTATAGTCTATAGTCTAGACTATTGTCTATTCTATAGTCTAGTCTATAGTCTAATCTATAGTCTAGTGTATAGTCTAGTCTATAGTCTAGTCTATAGTCTAGCCTATAGTCTAGTCTATAGTCTAGCCTATAGTCTAGTCTATAGTCTAGCCTATAGTCTAGTCTAGTCTAGCCTATAGTCTAGTCTATAGTCTAGCCTATAGTCTAGTCTATAGTCTAGCCTATAGTCTAGTCTATAGTCTAGCCTATAGTCTAGTCTATAGTCTAGCCTATAGTCTAGTCTATAGTCTAGCCTATAGTCTAGTCTATATTCTAGTCTATAGTCTAGTCTATAGTCTAGTCTATAGTCTAGTCTAGTCTATAGTCTAGTCTATAGTCTGGACTATAGTCTAGTCTATAGTCTGGACTATAGTCTAGTCTATAATCTGTCAGTTAATACTGTAGTCTATTCTAAATATAGTGTATTCTGTAGAAAACTTTTGGGGTTTCGTTTATCATTAACTTTTCTTTCCAGATTAGTTGCAATTATCAGTCCAGTCATATCGAAAACCATTTTTACACAATTTATGATTACCGCCGCCATTTTAGGCACCACTTTAATAAATATCTTTATATTTGCCGACTTTTCTACACAAATTGCTAGTGTAGTTTATTTTCTAGCGGTACTGGTGCAAACATCGCCCTGCTGCTATCAGGCCACTTGTCTTCAACATGACAGTGGGCAGTTATCGCTGGCCATTTTCCATTGTGAATGGTTCGATAAGGATATACGTTTTCGTAAAATGATGATATATTTTATGATGCGTTCCCAGACTCCTATAACGTTGACGGCTATGAAATTATTCCCAATAACTTTGAGAACCAGCTTGGGGGTGAGTTGGGCCTTTAATACATTGATTATGGAATATTAAAGTTGTGATTTCCTCTTACAGATAGCAAAATTTTCATTTTCATTATATACATTGATCAAGGAAATGGATTTTGGTCAGAATTTTAAGCAGTAAATGATATTGGTCTTGATATTTTGAAAGATTTGATGTTATAGATTTGTAGTTCAAAATAGTTCTGAAATAGTAAAATTTTAAGATATTGTCCTAATAAAAGTAGAACCGTGTTATGTGAAAATTTCGGTTTCTTATAAAAATTTTATGGGTTTGATGCGAAAGACCAGTGTATTGGTGGACAGCTGCATTGATTCCAATACGCCCATTTTCATGCACTAGAAACAAATCTATTTTAAATGTTTTCCACAAAAAGACTATAAATTAACATAGAGAAATTTATTACTTATTAATCCCTGTACAAGGAAAATCCCCTTAAAAGTAGTAGTAGTCAATCTGATAACTTCCTAACCACCAAATATTAATTTCAGTTCTCTTAGACTAACAATATGTTTGATCGGTTTTTTGGTCGTGGCAATAATTTAAAGACTACACGCGAAGCCACCGCGTATCTTTACAAAAATTTCCGTTATCTGGGCCTAAAACCCTGCAAGAAATGGCAGAAATGTTATCAATATCTATATTATCTACTTTCGGTATCAGTGAATATGTTTGTTTTGGGTTATTTTCCATTATCGTTTCCCTTAAGTTACTACTATGAGTCACACAAAATGTCGGCTGAACAGTTCTTGACTTCACTACAAGTTTTCATCAATGTTTTGGGTCTACCGCCTAAAGTTATTGTACTGCGACTATTATTAAAACGTCTATCCCAATCTAAGGACATAATGAATCTTCTAGATGCTCGCTGCCTTCTAGCCGAAGAATGTAAGAAAATTCGCGAATGCGCCATAATGGGCAATCGTTTAACGGTATTTTTCATGAGTGTCTATACCATGTACGCCGTAGTTACCATTTTAAGTATGGTTTGTATGGGTCAACCAGGTTATTCACTATTTTTACCCATAATAGATTGGCGCAATTCATGGTTGGAATTTATACTGCAGTGTTTAATAGAATGGTTTTTGGTCAACGTCGGTTGTTTGCATCAGGCAACGGTGGATGTTTATGCCATTATTTATGTTTATATCTTGAGAACTCATATGCAGATTTTGGTGGATCGGGTGAAAAGATTGGGTACAGATTCAGCTTACAGTAATGATGAACATTATGAGCAATTGGTGTTGTGTGTTAAGGATCATCAGAATTTGTTGAAGTAAGTTGGAAATGACTATAGTCTATAGTCTAGACTAGAATCCGGACTATAGATGAAACTAGAGAATAGACTAGACTCTACTTTGGACCAGACTAAAGATCAGACTATACATTATACTTTAAGCCAGTCCATATATCTGTCTAAAGTCCAGATAATAGACCAGTCGATTGAACATACTATAGACCAGACTACGAGTTACACTATAGTCCAGATTATAGACTAAACTAAAGATTAGACTAGACTATACTTCTTACTAGGCTAAAGATCAGACTATACACTATGCTGTAGACCAAACCATATACTGTAGACTGTGACTAGTCTTTAGACAAGACTTGTGCAGACTATAGACCAGAGTAAAGTATATTCTATAGACTAGATTATAGTCCAGGCTTTAGTCCTTACTATAGTCCTGACTATAGTGCTACTATAGTCCAGACTATAGTGCGACTATAGTCCAGACTATAGAGCGACTATAGTCCTGACTATAGTGCGACTATAGGCCAGACTATAGTGGGACTATAGTTCAGACTATAGCGCGACTATAGTCCAGACTATACTGCGACTATAGTCCAGACTATAGTGCGACTATAGTCCAGACGATAGTGCGACTAAAGTCCAGACTATAGTCCGACTACAATCCAGACTGTAGTCCAGTCTATAGTCCAGGCAATAGCTAAGACTTTCCACTATATTATCGTCTGGACTATAGTCCAGTCTAAATTCCCGACTATGGTTCAGATTATAGTCCAAACTATAGAATAGATTCTAGCCCTCTAGTATCGACTAGACCATAGCCCAGACTATATAATAGACCATAGTCCAGACAATATACTAGACTTTCATACAGACTATAAGTAGAATCGACTATTGTGAGGACTTTAGACAGGCTAAGGTCCAGTCAACTGACTAGACTATAATCCAAACTTGAAACTAATCTCACTAATGTTTTTTCTATCTCCCTTCAGATTGGTAGACTTCATCAGCCCCGTTATCTCTATTACCATCTTCATACAATTTATGATAACGGCCGCCATTTTGGGCACCACTTTAATAAATATCTTTGTGTTTGCTGATTTCTCAGCTCAGATCGCTTCAGTAGTATATATTTTTGCAGTTCTAGTACAAACATCACCCTGTTGCTATCAAGCTACTTGTCTGATCGAGGACAGTGAACAATTATCATTGGCCATTTTCCACTGTGAGTGGTTCGATAAGGATATACGTTTTCGTAAAATGATGATATACTTTATGATGCGTTCACAGACGCCCATTACTCTAACGGCTTTAAAATTGTTTCCCATTACTTTGGATACTAGTGTGGGGGTAAGTTTGCTAAAGAAATTTTTGAATATTTTTGAAAATCTTTCTATTACAGATTGCAAAATTTTCATTTTCTTTATACACCCTTATCAGGGAAATGGATTTTGGTCAGAGCTTAAAGAACTAAAGGAGATATTCTAAGTCATTGGTAATATTAAGGTGTTTCACAAAACATATACATACTTAATAAATATTAGATTTTTTTCTAGCATTTTGAAAATGTTTCTGTTATTTGTGGTTTTAAATTTGCAGGGTTTGCAGTTTCGCTCATACAATATTTAGCAGTTATTTTTAGATTTCTAGCAAATAAGCCTTAGCCACTAATTACCCCTAACAGAAACTACACCCTCTTGTAGAACAGAAATAGAATTTTCCCTTAGAAAAAGCTACAAAATAAAAACCATTCTCACGGCCCTTGAAAATCACCTGGAAAATTTTAAAAAATCTCAACATTAAGTAAAACTCTCTTAAACTAACAACATGTTCGATAGATTTTGGGGTCGTGGCAATAATTTACAGGCTACTCGTGAAGCCACCGCTTATCTATTCAAAAATTTCCTTTATTTGGGTTTTCAAGAACCGCCCAAATGGAAACCTTTGTATTATCTATATTCAGTGCTATTGAATTTCAGTGTTTGTGTTTTTCTACCCATATCCTTCAGTTTAAGCTATTATTATGGCTACCGTAAAATGACACCCGTACAATTGTTGACCTCACTACAAGTGGCCATAAATGTTTGGGGTTTACCGGCCAAATTCATAACCATAGTAGTGTCATTGAAACGTCTACATCAAGCCATGGATGTCATGGATATTTTAGATGCACGATGTCTACGACAAGATGAACAGGCGAAAATACGTCATTGCGCTATGATGGGCAATCGTTTGACGATATTTTTTATTGGTTTCTATGTTTTATACTCACTGCTGACGATGATAACATCGGTGTGGATGGGTCAACCACCGTATTCATTATTTATGCCCCTAATGGATTGGCGCAATTCAATGCTAGAGTTTGTGCTACAATCATTTCTTGAATTTATGCTCATGAATTTGATATGTATGCATGAGGGTGGAGATGATGTTTATGCTGTCATTTTTATTTATGCCATACGTACTCATATGCAGATATTGGTGGAACGGGTTAGAAGATTGGGTGCGGATGGAAAGACTTCGAATGAAGAACACTATGAGGAGTTGGTGCAATGTGTTAAAGACCATCAGGATTTGTTAAGGTAATATGATGATCAGTTCTATCTAAAGATCAGTCTATAGTTAAGACTGAAGATCGGTATAACGATTAGACTATAGTGTAGTGTAATTCTTTAGATGAGTCTACAGATCATAATATAGATTAGATTATAGATCAATCTCTTAAAGATCATTCTAAAGATTAGACTATAGGCAAATATAGAGATGAAACGATAGATTTGTCCATGATATATGATACTATAGATCACCCTATAGATGATGATATTGATCAGTCTATCGATGATATTATAGATCTGTCTATAGTTGAAATAGGTCTCCACATGAGACAATTGAATGGACGATACTAAAAACTTTAAAATTTCTAAAACTGAACATGGACTTGATAAGATAAATGATTATCAGTCTATAGATAAGACTAAACTAGATCAGTTTATAGTTATATCTTTATTCCATTCTAAAGATAACACTATAGAATCTAAACCAATCAAAGGAAGACTGTAAATGAGAATTTAGATTATAAGACCATTGATCTGCCTTAAGATCAGTCTATAGATGAGATAAAGATGAGGACGAGACTATAAACTCTACAATTTCTAAAACTGAACATTTGGTAAGATAAAATGATCAGTCTATATTTAGGACTACAATAGATCAGTCTATAGTTGTAACCAAAGGATGAGACTATAGATCATTCTGTAAGTAAGACAATAGATTTGTCTAAAGATCAGTTTATAAACATGACTACAGATCATACTGCAGATGGGAATATAGATTAGTCTGTCGACGGGACTATAGATCAGTCTGTAGATTGGACTATCAGTCTAGAATAGACTATAAATCATATTCAACGATAGATGAGAAGATAGATCATTCTATATATAAGACTACAAATCAGTCCATAGGTGAGACCTTAGATCAATAAGATAAGCTCAATCTTTACAGTCTGTAGACGATCTAGTCCGGACTCTAGTCCAGTCTTTAGACATTAATAATTGACTTTATTCTCTTTTCAGTTTATTAGATATCATCAGTCCGGTTATTTCGATAACCATCTTTATACAATTTATGATAACCGCCATTATTTTGGGCACCACTTTAATAAATATATTAATTTTCGCTGACCTCTCGGCCCAAATAGCCTCAGTGGTTTATTTTCTAGCGGTGTTGGTGCAAACCTGTCCCTGTTGCTATCAAGCCACTTGTCTAATGGACGATAGCGATCAATTATCTTTGGCTATTTTCCACTGTCAATGGATTGATAAGGATATACGTTTTCGTAAACTAATGATATTCTTTATGATGCGTTCGCAAGTACCGGTAGCTTTAACGGCTTTGAAATTATTTCCCATTACCTTAAATACCAGTTTGGGGGTAAGTTTTAAATTTAGAATTTTTTTTTTTAAATATTAATGAATTTTCTTTATAGATAGCGAAATTTTCATTTTCTTTGTATACTTTTATCAAAGAAATGGATTTTGGTAAACATTTCGAGAAGTAAAGGAAAACGCCCTAAATCTCCCCTTGGGTGGTTTACACTTTTATAATTTCACACGTTAATTTTAGATTTGTAGTTTAAAATCAACACAAACAATTATGTTTAGCCTTTAATTAGACCTTACAAAGCCACGCCCCCTCTTCAATTAAACACATACAATTTATTCAAAATTTCCACTGCTTATCAAAGGATTTCAGTAAGTATTGACTTAAGATTCTAACAACATGTTCGAGAAGTTAAGAAAACGTGGTAATATTCAAAAAGCCACTCGAGAAGCCATCCATTACCTCTTCAATTTATTTCTCTATTTGGGCGTAGGAAAATCTCAAAAATGGCCAACACTACATCGTATATATTCTCTGTTCATAAAACTAAATATGTGTGTTCTTTTGCCACTATCCTTTACTTTAACCTGCTACTATGAATATAAAAAACTAACCACCGAGCAATTGTTGACATCACTGCAGGCCTTCATTAATGTTTTGGGTATACCAGCTAAAATTATCACAATAACTATAAGCTTTAAGTATTTACATCAAGCCTTAAAAGCCATGGACACCTTAGATGCTCGCTGTCAAAGACCATATGAATATGACAAAATTCAACATTGTGCCATGATGGGTAATTGTTTAACGACATTCTATTCCACCCTTTACTGTGTATATGTGGCTGCTACAATTACTACATCGTTGAGTATGGGAAAGCAGGCATATTCATTATTTATACCTTTCATAAATTGGCGCAATTCTATGCTGGAGTTTGTTGTACAATCGTTTATTGAATTTGTAGCTCTAAATATTGCTGTACTATATCAGGCTGCTATTGATGTGTATCCTGTCATTTACATCCATGGCATACGTACGCATATGAAGATATTAGTGGAACGGGTAAGGAGATTGGGTGTCAATAGGAAGATCACAAATGGTGAACACTATGAGGAGTTGGTGATGTGTGTTAAGGATCATCAGGATTTGTTAAGGTACAATAATTTGTCGGAATGTTGCCTATTCTAAAGAAAACAACTGATCAGTTTTAAGTTGAGACTTATATATAGTTAGTCTAAGAAGATACTACAGATCATATAAATATAGTCTATAGATCAGTCTATAGATGATGGATGCTACAGATCAGTCTCTATGGATGAGATCAGTCCATCGATGAAACTATAGATCAGTATATAGATGACACCGTAGGTCAGGTATAGATAAAACTATAGATCAGTCTGTAGATGAGACTATCGATCTGTTTATAGAAGAAACTGTAGATCAGTCTATAGATGAGACTACAGATCAGTCAATAGATAAGACTACAGAACAGTCGATAGATGAGACTAAAAATCAGTCCATAGATGAGATTATAGATCAGTCTATAGATGGAACTAAAGATTAATCTATAGATCAGTCTATAGATTAATCTATAGATCATTCTATAGATGATATCTATATATGAGACTATAAATCAATCTAAATATGAGTCTATCGATCAGTCTATTAATGAAATCTCCTTAAAAACTTTTGATATAATTTTAAATTTATAGAAAATATCTTTTAAAATCTTTCCTACTCTCTTGCCAGTTTGGTCAACATTATCAGCCCCGTCATCTCGATGACCATGTTTATACAATTTATGATTACGGCCGTCATTCTCGGTACGACTTTAATAAATATATTCATATTTGCCGACTTCTCCGCCCAAATTGCTTCTGTACTATATCTTATTGCTGTATTAGTGCAAACATCGCCCTGTTGCTATAATGCTTCTTGCCTAATCGAGGAAAGTGATCAACTATCTTTGGCAATTTTCCACTGTCAATGGTTTGACAAGGATATACGTTTTCGTAAACTAATGATATTTTATATGATGCGTTCTCAGATGCCCATTACGTTAACGGCTCTGAAATTGTTTCCCATAACATTGAATACCAGTTTGGGGGTAAGTTGAAGAAGGATGAAATGATTTTATAATGTTTTACAATTGATCGCAATCTTCATTACAGATTGCAAAATTTTCATTTTCCCTATATACGGTTATCAAGGAAATGGATTTTGGTAAACACTTTGAGCACTAATGGTTGGAAAATCATCACTTTAAACATGGAAATAGTATTCGAATTTATTTTAAATAAATGTAGTTGTTGCACACAGATCATTACTAAAATTAATAGTTTTATGTAATGGGGGTTCAAATCTTAATGACTGGACTGTAGATCAATCTACGCAAGAGATATGGACCAGCCTATAGACGAGATTATAGACCAGTCCAAAGACGAGACTATAGACTAGATAATAGACCAGTCTATAGACTAGACTAAAGACCAGTCTATAGACTAGACTATAGACCAGTCTATAGACTAGACTATAGACCAGTCTATAGACTATAGACTATTGACCAGTCTATAGACTATAGACTATTCTATAGCCTAGACTATAGACCAGTCTATAGACTAGACTATAGACCAGTCCACAGACTAGACTATAGACCAGTCTATAGACTAGACTATAGACCAGTCTATAGACTAGACTATAGACCAGTCTATAGACTATAGACTATTGACCAGTCTATAGACTATAGACTATTCTATAGCCTAGACTATAGACCAGTCTATAGACTAGACTATAGACCAGTCCACAGACTAGACTATAGACCAGTCTATAGACTATTCTACAGCCTAGACTATAGACCAGTCTATAGACAAGACTATAGACCAGTCTATAGACTAGACTATAGACCAGTCTATAGACTAGACTATAGAGCAGTCTATAGACTACATATTTTATAGACTAGACTATAGACCAGTCTATAGACTAGACTATAGACCAGTCTATAGTCTAGACTATAGACCAGTCTATAGTCTAGACTATAGACCAGTCTATAGACTAGACTATAGACCAGTCTATAGACTAGACTATAGACCAGTCGATAGACTAGACTTTAGACCAGTCTATAGACTAGACTATAGACCAGTCTATAGACTAGACTATAGACCAGTCTATAGACCAGTCTATAGACTAGACTATAGACCAGTCTATAAACTAGACTATAGACTAGACTATAGACCAGTCTATAGCCTAGACTATAGACCAGTCTATAGCCTAGACTATAGACCAGTCTATAGACAAGACTATAGACCAGTCTATAGACAAGACTATAGACCGGTCTATAGACTAGACTATAGACCCGTCTATAGACTAGACTATAGGCAAGTATATAGACTAGACTATAGGCCAGTCTATAGACTAGACTATAGGCCAGTCTATAGACTATATACCAGTCTATAGACTAGACTATAGACCAGTCTATAGACTAGACTATAGACCAGTCTATAGACTAGACTATAGGCCAGTCTATAGACTATATATCAGTCTATAGACTAGACTAGACTATAGACCAGTCTATAGACCAGTCTATAGACTAGACTATCTACCAGTCTATAGACTAGACTATAGACCAGTCTATAGACTAGACTGTAGACCAGTCTATAGACTAGACTATAGACCAATTTATAGACTAGACTATAGACCAGTCCATAGACTACACTATAGACCAGTCTACAAACAAGACTATAGACTAGACTATAGACCAATCTATAGACTAGACTATAGACCAGTATATAGACCAGACCATAGACCAGTTTACAGATTAGACTATAGACCAGTCTAAAGACGAGACTATACACCAGTCTATAGACTAGACTATAGACCAGTTTATAGACTAGACTATAGACCAGTCTATAGGCAAGACTATAGACCAGCCTACAGATTAGACTATAGACAAGTCCATACACTAGACTATAGACCAGTCTATATACTAGACTATAGACTAGACTATAGACCAGTCTATAGACTAGACTATAGACCAGTCTATAGACTAGACTATAGACCAGTCTATAGACTAGACTATAGACCAGTCTATAGGCTAGACTATAGACCAGTCTATAGACTAGACTATAGATCAGTCTATAGACTAGAATATAGACCAGTCTATAGTCTAGACTATAGACCAGTTTATAGACTAGACTATAGACCAGTCTATAGACTAGACTATAGACCAGTCTATAGACTAGACTATAGACCAGTCTATAGACTAGACTATAGCCCAGTCTATAGACTAGACTATAGACCAGTCTATAGACTAGACTATAGCCCAGTCTATAGACTAGACTATAAACCAGTCTATAGACTAGACTAAAGCCCAGTCTATAGACCAGACTAAAGCCCAGTCTATAGACCAGACTATAGACCAGTCTATAGACCAGACTATAGACCAGACTATAGACCAGTCTATAGATCAGACTATAGACTAGTCTAGACTATACACCACTCTAAAGACTGTAGTCTGTAGACTAGACTATACACCAGTCTATAAACGATACTCTACACCAATCTATAGAATGTAGAATGTACGCTTGACACGTGTCATATTTTTAATATATTACATACGTAAATGGGATTTTCCCATTTGAAAATAGTATATAACCTTTAAAACCCTCTTTGACAACAATGTATGATTGATTACAGACTAAGCAAAGAAATCTCCACCTTAAATTCAATGTGCTATAACCACGCCCTTTTGCCTTTTTATATACAAATGAATATTTCGCATTAATTAAGTCAAATACTAAGCGAAAATTATCAAACGTAAATTGTACCAGTTACCGAAATGTTCGATAGATTTTGGGGTCGTGGCAATAATTTACAAGCAACTCGTGAAGCTACGGCTTATCTGTTTAAAAATCATCTTTACATGGGTTTACAACCAACTAAAAAATGGAAGCCACTTTATTATATCTACTCAGCCTTTATTAATATATCGGTTTTTATTTGTTTGCCAGTATCGCTCACTTTAAGCTATTGCTACGAATTTAGCCAAATGACAACCATGCAGTTCTTGACTTCATTCCAAATGGTCACCAATGTTTGGGGTATACCAGTTAAAGTTCTAACAAGAATGTTTTTCATAAAACATCAGCACCAGGCCTTGGATATATTGGACACTTTAGATGCTAGATGCCAGCGACAGGATGAATACAAAAATATACGTTCTTGTGCCATAATAGGCAATCGTTTGGCATTATTATTTATGGGTTTTTATGTTCTCTACTCAACAGTTACTATGATATCATCAGTGAGTATGGGACATCCACCGTATACGGTATTTATGCCCTTAATGGATTGGCGTAATTCTACATTGGATTTTATAACACAATCTACAATTGAATATATTATCATGAATTTGGCCTGTCTTCATCAGGCTGGTAATGATGTTTATGCTGTCATTTATGTCTATGCCATACGGACTCATATGCAGATATTGGTGAAACGTGTCAGTAGATTGGGGGCGGATAGGGATGGAAGTAATGATAAACATTATGAAGAGTTGGTAATGTGCATTAAGGATCATCAGAATTTGTTAAGGTGAGGGGAGATATATTGACGGAACTATAGATCAGATAGTAGATTAGACTACAGACCGGAATTTAGACTGCAGACTAAACAATAGAGTAGACTATAGAACAGATTATACTCGAGACTATATAATCCAAAATGCAGATTGGCTATAGACAATATATATATATATAGTCCAGACTATAAACTTGTTTATAGTCGAGACTCTAGACTAGTTTATAGTCCAGACTACAGACTAGTTTATGGCCCAGAATATAGAATAGTTTATAATCCAGACTATAGATGAATTTATAGTCCAGCCTATAGTCGAGTTTGTAGTCCAGCCTATAGACGAGTTTGTAGTCCAGACTATAGACGAGTTTACAGAACAGACTATAGACGTGTTTATAGTCCAGACTATAGGACAGACTATAGACGAGTTTATAGTCCAGACTATAGAGAGATTTATAGCCCAGACTACAGACGAGTTTATAGTCCAGACTATAGACGAGTTTATAGTCCACACTCTAATCCAGTCTAAAAAATAATTTATAGTCCAGCTTATAGACGAGTTTGCAGTCCAGCCTATAGACGAGTTTGTAGTCCAGACTTTAGTCGAGTTTATAGCCCAGCCTATAGACGAGTTTGCAGTCCAGCCTATAGGACAGACTATAGACGAGTTTATAGTCCAGACTATAGACGAGTTATAGTCCACACTATAGACGATTTCATATTCCAGACTATAGACGAACTTATAGTCCAGACTATAGACTAGTTTATAGTCCAGGAGAGTTTATAGTCCATACTATAGAATAGTTTATGGACCAGACTATAGACTAGTTTTTAGTCCAGTCTATAGACTTATTTAAAGTCGAGGAGAGTTTATAGTCCATACTATAGACTAGTTTATGGACCAGACTATAGACTACTTTATAGTCCAGCTTTTAGATCACAATAAGTTCAGCTAACACTATGTTTCGCTTATTTTTCTTTCACGGCTTGTTAGAAATTATCAGTCCCCTAATTTCGATCACCATTTTTATCCAGTTCATCGTTACCGCCGTCATACTCGGCACTACCTTAATTAACATTCTAATATTTGCCGATTTATCGGCCCAAATAGCTTCGGTAGTTTATTTGCTAGCCGTTTTAATGCAAACATTTCCATGTTGCTATTATTCGACCTGTCTAATCGATGACAGTGAACAGTTATCATTAGCCATTTTCCATTGTGAATGGTTTGACAAGGATAAACGTTTTCGCAAAATGTTAATATTCTTTTTGATGCGTTCACAGACGCCCATAACTCTAACAGCTATGAAATTATTTCCCATAAATGTCAGCACAAGTGTGGCAGTAAGTTAATTTTAATTTTGAAATAATTTGTGGATTTAGTTTTGATTTTTTTTCTTCTTTCTTTTCAGATAGGAAAATTTTCATTTTCTTTATATACTCTTATAAAGCAAATGGATTTTGGTGAAAATTTAAAGAACTAATGGGGTTTATCGTGGAGTATGCGAGTTTGAGGTTAAGTAATATAAATTTGTAGTAGTTTAAGTTTTATTGCTTTGAAATAAATGTTGTTTAATTAGTTAATTGTTGAATTTTTAATTGTTATTAAAAAGAAAAAGTTTTGTTGCAGTAGTTTAAGCGTTTGGGAAAGGTTGGGTGCTGCAGGTTAGATGATGGCCTTTTGTTTGTTAGACATTGATTTTTTATATAAAATATGAATAATTTATTTTAGTTTAAACTTTCTTATTTAATAGTTTAAATAACTTATTAAGAACTAAAACTTTTTCTTAAAGTTTTTACAACAAAATATTAAGTTTTATATATAAAATCTAGATTAACTTAAAAGTAAAATTAGTCTTAAAAGAAAAATTATTAGAAAATGTTTAAAATAACAACTACTGCACCGGGAAAAGATTTAGTACTAAAGGAAGCTAGTGAGTATCTTACAAACCTATATTTTGGCAAACAACTTAATGTTTTGATAACTCCATTTAGCCTCTAGCAAACCTAAGGTAAAAACCAAACAAGCTCTTACCTATTTATATCGTTGTTTCCGTATATTGGGTCTCTATCGTACCGGGAAATATAAATATGCTTATATCATTTATAGCATATTTATACACTGCAGTGTAACCATATTCCTGCCCGCTTCGTTTATAGCCAGCTACTCCGTGGAATCTAATAAGAATTTAGACTATGATACTCTCTTCACCTCCATACAAGTGGCCATTAATGTTTTTGGCTGTTCTCTGAAAATCTGCATGTTATTGTATTTCATACCACATTTGCTGACGGCCGAACCAGTACTCGCCAAATTGGATGAACGTTGTGTGGCCGAGGATGAAATAGAATTGCTGTTTAAGATCAAAAATCTGGGGCGTAAATTGGTGGTTAATTTCTCTATAACCTTTTGGAGTTATGCCACCTCTACTTTTGTAGTTTCTATGTTGGCGGGTCATCCTCCTTATTCGTTATATTTGCCGCACATTAATTGGCGCAACTCTACTTGGGAATATTTTGTGGCTTCCTTCATAGAGTTTTTACTCATGGATGCTGCCTGTTTTCAGCAAGTGGCCAATGATTCCTATGCGGCTGTTTATGTTTGTATTTTAAGGGCTCATGTTAATATTTTGCGCCTCAGAATAAGGAAACTAGGGTCAGATCCCCATAAAACTCTATTGGAAAATGAACAGGAATTGAAAATGTGCATTAAGGATCATAAACATTTAATCGAGTAAGTATTTTTCAACTCATCCACTTCCATTTAAAAGCAAGTATTTCTCTCTTTCCCCTAGACTATACCAGATCATTTCACCTGTTATTTCCGCCACCATATTCCTACAATTCACCAATACTGCTGGCATTTTGGGCATTACTCTGATTAACATGTTGATCTTTGCTCGTGGTTATTCTTCTATTATTGCTTCTGGCTTTTATGTTCTGGCGGTGGTGGTGGAGATCTTTCCCTTGTGCTATTATGCCAATTGTTTAGTTTGTGATAGTGATTTGCTGAGTGTTGAAATATTTCATTCCACCTGGATCCAACAGAATTATCGCTATCGCAAAATGTTGATATTTTTCATGCAACGTTCTCAGCAAACTATGCAGTTGATGGCCGTGAAAATGTTTCCCATTAATTTGAATAGTTTTATCAGTGTAAGTAAGGTTCCTGCTGGAAGATGTCTAGAGATTTCAGTAGTTTATGATTCTCTTTAAACTTTTTATGGTCACGATAACCCTTCCTTTCTTTCCTTTTACTAGATTGCAAAATTTTCCTTTTCACTTTATACGCTCATCAAAAAAATGGGCATCAAGGAGCGGTTGGGTTTGCAGTGAAGATTTTCGTTGAGGGAATAACGATTTTTATTATATTTTTTATAAAACTTATGTAAAATTACATGAAGAGAAAATAAATCAATAACTGATAATTCATAAACAACAACTAAAGTTTCCATTCTTTCCTTTCTTCCGTTTTAAATGGGAAATTGTTATATATAGAACGTGTAGAGGTGGATAGGCAAAGCTAAGAAAGGTAACGCCAGTTGGTTGGTATTAATTTCTAGTTCTTTGCAAAATTATCCATCAAAAGCTGGAGATTGTTAAGGACATTACTGTGAAGAGAAGCTTTTGATTTGCTTCAACATTGTTCTGCTATTCCGAAGAACAGTCTTCTTTAATTCCTAAGATAATTGGATCTTCGCTCCCGAACGACCCGTGTCTTACTCGTCCAAAGATTATGAACATAGCAACAATCCTTTTCGTTCTAAAGACAATTGGATCTTCGCTCCCATACGACCAGAGTCTTGCTCGACCATAGATTGTCAACTCAGCGATAATTGTATCAACCAATAACAAACAATATTCTTCAAAGAAACTTGAAGAAGATTGTTATCTTCTTCGAAGAAAGCTTACCTTTGTTTGGATCAACAACATTTTGATCTTCCAAAAGACAAATTCCTTTGATTAGCTGGAAATTGATAAGGACATTACTGCAAAGAGAAGCCTTTGATTTGCTTCAAAATTGTTCTGCTATTCGGAAGAATAATCTTCTTTCGTTCCCAAGACAATTAGATCTTCCCATCCAAGCGACCCGAGTGTTACTCGACCAAAGATTGTAAACTCAGCGACAATCTTCTTTCTTTCCCAATACAATTGGATCTTTGCTCTCGAACGACCCGAGTCTTACTCGGCCAAAGATTGTCAACTCAGCGACAACTTTATTAACCAATAAAGAAGATTGTTATCTTCTTATTCGAAGAAAGCTTAACTTTGTTTGGATCAACAACATTATGATCTTCCAAAGACAAATTCCTTTGATTAGATTACTCCCAATTTTAACTAAGATCTCTTGAAGTTTTTCTTAAGAATTAGCATTATTATTTCACTTGTTATTTTGATGTTTTGCTCATTCGAAAAAACGATCCTGCGATTAGTTGTGATTCTGCTAACAATCTCCTCAATCAACTTGAGATTTCTCCAACGCTATAACTTCCTGGAGATGGTAGTCCAAAAGACTTTCTTTTCTATCTTTCCATTCTTCCAAAATGTGTCTTATAGAGCTGAGATCTGCCTGGAATATTTTCGCCTTTAATTTTTGTTTGGACCAGCAAAGTCTTGCCTTTTCTTAAAACAAATCTCTTCAGAAATAGTTAAAACTTTCTACCAAACTACATCGGATGTTCAGGCGCAAATGTATGAGGAACGTTCTTCCAAGTGATTCTCTCCACCGAATCTGATGTTTAGACTTGAATATTGGGAATCTCTAACCGCCTGTAATGTTATCAACAAACCAAACAACATTGAATGATTAGATGTGAATGTATTAGGAACGTTCTTCCCTCCCAAGTGATTCTATAAAGAGAATTATACTTCGAGATTTAGAAACTACAAGAGACGTTAAACCTCTCCAACGACTTCCGATGTTTAGACGTGAATATATTTTGATTTTCTAAACGCCTAGAATGTTTTCATCAATATTCAAAGTGCTCTTATATTGGTTTGGACCAACAAAGTATTACTCTTTAATAGAACAAATATCTTCAGAAATTGTTGAAGTTTTCCACTAAACGACATAAAAATGTTCTTCTCTCGAATCTGATGTTTAGACTTGAATATATTGGAATCCTCTAATCGCCTGGAATGTTTTCACCTCAACAAGCGACATTAATTGTATTAGGAATATCTTTCTCTCCCAAGTCATTCTTCTCAATTACCATAATAGACCCGAAATAGGCCTAGGTATATTTCTTCGGATTTGGTGTAACATACATTCTCCTTTCCTTTTTGGGAGATGGGCACTAGAGCACAAAGAGTAGAGGAAGTCTGTAAACGTCATAACTTCATGAAGTTTAGAGCGACATATTAAACCCTTTGTAGTGTTTGTAAGAGATCCAAAATTCAAAATTTGGCTCAATAACCATGTACACTTTACAATATTCAACTAAGAAATGTTTCTTGTTAAAATCCAGCAGAACAAAAGAAGCTTTAGCAGCTATTTGAAATGCAGCAGGACTTTGGCCCTGAAACTTTTGTAAACGAAACTTTTAGTTTCTTGAAAAGTGTGAAAAAATTAAAATTTCTTTTGACAAAAAAATATGCATATTTAGTTGTATTGTTTAAAATAATTGTTGCATTTTTAATTATTGTTGGGAAAAAATAAAGCAAAAGTCTAGACAATTCTAATGTTAACACTTTGAGGAATAAAAATGAAAACTTTAAGGGGAAAAAACAGTTCAAAGTTGGAACACTTATGGTGTAATGGATTCTTATCGATAAGAAGAAGATAACAGTTTTCAAAACTCTTTATTCGTTTAACTCGATTATACGAATGATCCCAATTAGAGACAACAAAACAGTCTCCAATAATAAATAGATGGGAAAGCTCGAGCTCGAGGATGGTGTTGACCGTTAAGTTTACCACCAGTAGTACTAAGATCATCATAGTCTATAGTCTAGTCTATAGTCTAGTCTATAGTCTAGTCTATAGTCTAGTCTATAGTCTAGTCTATAGTCTAGTCTATAGTCTAGTCTATAGTCTAGTCTATAGTCTAGTCTATAGTCTAGTCTATAGTCTAGTCTATAGTCTAGTCTATAGTCTAGTCTATAGTCTAGTCTATAGTCTAGTCTATAGTCTAGTCTATAGTCTAGTCTATAGTCTAGTCTATAGTCTAGTCTATAGTCTAGTCTATAGTCTAGTCTATAGTCTAGTCTATAGTCTAGTCTATAGTCTAGTCTATAGTCTAGTCTATAGTCTAGTCTATAGTCTAGTCTATAGTCTAGTCTATAGTCTAGTCTATAGTCTAGTCTATAGTCTAGTCTATAGTCTAGTCTATAGTCTAGTCTATAGTCTAGTCTATAGTCTAGTCTATAGTCTAGTCTATAGTCTAGTCTATAGTCTAGTCTATAGTCTAGTCTATAGTCTAGTTATAGTCTAGTCTATAGTCTAGTCTATAGTCTAGTCTATAGTCTAGTCTATAGTCTAGTCTATAGTCTAGTCTATAGTCTAGTCTATAGTCTAGTCTATAGTCTAGTCTATAGTCTAGTCTATAGTCTAGTCTATAGTCTAGTCTATAGTCTAGTCTATAGTCTAGTCTATAGTCTAGTCTATAGTCTAGTCTATAGTCTAGTCTATAGTCTAGTCTATAGTCTAGTCTATAGTCTAGTCTATAGTCTAGTCTATAGTCTAGTCTATAGTCTAGTCTATAGTCTAGTCTATAGTCTAGTCTATAGTCTAGTCTATAGTCTAGTCTATAGTCTAGTCTATAGTCTAGTCTATAGTCTAGTCTATAGTCTAGTCTATAGTCTAGTCTATAGTCTAGTCTATAGTCTAGTCTATAGTCTAGTCTATAGTCTAGTCTATAGTCTAGTCTATAGTCTAGTCTATAGTCTAGTATAGTCTAGTCTATAGTCTAGTCTATAGTCTAGTCTATAGTCTAGTCTATAGTCTAGTCTATAGTCTAGTCTATAGTCTAGTCTATAGTCTAGTCTATAGTCTAGTCTATAGTCTAGTCTATAGTCTAGTCTATAGTCTAGTCTATAGTCTAGTCTATAGTCTAGTCTATAGTCTAGTCTATAGTCTAGTCTAGTCTAGTCTAGTCTAGTCTATAGTCTAGTCTATAGTCTAGTCTATAGTCTAGTCTATAGTCTAGTCTATAGTCTAGTCTATAGTCTAGTCTATAGTCTAGTCTATAGTCTAGTCTATAGTCTAGTCTATAGTCTAGTCTATAGTCTAGTCTATAGTCTAGTCTATAGTCTAGTCTATAGTCTAGTCTATAGTCTAGTCTATAGTCTAGTCTATAGTCTAGTCTATAGTCTAGTCTATAGTCTAGTCTATAGTCTAGTCTATAGTCTAGTCTATAGTCTAGTCTATAGTCTAGTCTATAGTCTAGTCTATAGTCTAGTCTATAGTCTAGTCTATAGTCTAGTCTATAGTCTAGTCTATAGTCTAGTCTAGTCTATAGTCTAGTCTATAGTCTAGTCTATAGTCTAGTCTATAGTCTAGTCTATAGTCTAGTCTATAGTCTAGTCTATAGTCTAGTCTATAGTCTAGTCTATAGTCTAGTCTATAGTCTAGTCTATAGTCTAGTCTATAGTCTAGTCTATAGTCTAGTCTATAGTCTAGTCTATAGTCTAGTCTATAGTCTAGTCTATAGTCTAGTCTATAGTCTAGTCTATAGTCTAGTCTATAGTCTAGTCTATAGTCTAGTCTATAGTCTAGTCTATAGTCTAGTCTATAGTCTAGTCTATAGTCTAGTCTAGTCTATAGTCTAGTCTATAGTCTAGTCTATAGTCTAGTCTATAGTCTAGTCTATAGTCTAGTCTATAGTCTAGTCTATAGTCTAGTCTATAGTCTAGTCTATAGTCTAGTCTATAGTCTAGTCTATAGTCTAGTCTATAGTCTAGTCTATAGTCTAGTCTATAGTCTAGTCTATAGTCTAGTCTATAGTCTAGTCTATAGTCTAGTCTATAGTCTAGTCTATAGTCTAGTCTATAGTCTAGTCTATAGTCTAGTCTATAGTCTAGTCTAGTCTATAGTCTAGTCTATAGTCTAGTCTATAGTCTAGTCTATAGTCTAGTCTATAGTCTAGTCTATAGACGTTAAGAAACTTTAGCAGGAAAAATAATCATTTAGACTTCTTTCCCAAAAGTCATGATTTTCAAGGTTTTGCTTTAAAACTCTCCTAGATGAGTCTCTTCCCTATTCCAACTATTTTTATACATTCATTAACTATTACTAAAAATGCTATTTTAATTTTAATTAATTATTAAAAACTCACGAACTTTAAACGAAAGTTTTTCTTAACCCAAACATTATGCACATTTAAAACGGTAACTAAACTTTTTAAGAACTTTTTTTTTCAACAGATTTTATATAAAAATCACAAAAATCTAAAGACACAAGTTTAGTTATTTAATCAAAATGTTTAAAAACACTAAAGCAGATGAACCGATATTCATTAAAAAAACTAGTAAGTTTTGGTTTCAAAATTGGAGTTTAAATTAAGAATTAAAAATTTTCCTTTTAAGCCAAAATTACACCAAAGGTTACCAGCAAAGACTCCACCACTTATCTGTTTCGATGTTTTCGCATAATGGGTCTTTGTAGGACGAAGAAGCACAAATACTTGCACCTGCTGTGGTCCATTTTTGTACACTTCAGTGTTACCATTTTCTTGCCTTCCTCTTTTCTAGTCAGCTATATGCGAAAATCGAGTCAATTTGAATATGATACCTTACTAACCTCCATACAAGTTGCCATAAATGTCATAGGTTCTTCGATGAAAATATGTATGTTGTTGTATTATATACCTCATCTACTAACAGCTGAGCCCGTAATGGCTAAATTGGATGAACGTTGTATGGATGAGGATGAAATAGCTTTACTCTATAAACTTAAAAGTTTGGGTCGCCGTTTGGTGGTTAGTTTTGCTACCTCATTTTGGAGTTATGCCACCTCTACGTTTATAGTATCTATACTGGCGGGTCATCCACCCTATTCATTGTATTTTCCCTATATCAATTGGCGCAACTCCAAATGGGAATTTATTGTGATTTCTATAATAGAATGGTTGTTAATGGGTGGTGCTTGTTCGCAAGAAGTGGCCAATGATGCCTATGCTGCTGTTTATGTTTGTATGCTAAGGGCTCATGTGAATATTTTACGTCTGAGAATTAGTAAATTGTGTTCGAAACCTGATAAAACTTTGGAAGATAATTTGGAAGATTTGAAGCTGTGCATTATGGATCATAAGAATATTATAGAGTAAGTCCTTAAATTATAAAATAATTTTAGTTTTAATATTTTTTCTCTCTCTACAGACTTTATAATATCATTACACCCGTTATTTCCGCTACAATATTTCTGCAATTCACCATAACTGCCGGTATTCTAAGCATTACTCTGATTAATATGATGATCTTTGCTAAGGCTGTTTCCTCCAAAATAGCCTCTTGTTTTTATGTGTTAGCCGTGGTAGTGGAAATCTTTCCCTTGTGCTATTATTCCAATTGTTTAATGTATGACAGTGATCGTTTAAGTGAGGAAATCTTTCATTCCTCCTGGATTCACCAGAGTCCTCAGTATCGTAAAATGTTGATATTTTTCATGCAGCGTACTCAACAGACCATAGAATTTATGGCGGGTAAAATATTCTACATTAATTTAAATAGTTTTATCAGTGTAGGTTTAATGTAGTTTCCCATAAATTTTCTTAATTTATAATGTTCTTCTATTATTCCAGATCGCCAAATTTTCTCTTTCTTTGTACACTCTAATCAAGAAAATGAATCTTAAAGAGAGACTCGGTTTGCAGTAAGACGAAAAGCAAAGTTTACTTCAAGGGATTTTTATGCAAAATCTTTATTAGAAACAAAAACTAATTGCTCGGATATAATAAAGAAATGCTTGTAGCACCCGTTATAAATTACAACATAGTTTTCCTTAAAGGAAAGAACATTTTTTATTGAGAACAAAAATGGATTGCTTAGAAATAATAAATGTTTGCAGCACTCGTTAGCACTGGAATTCACTTTATCAGCTAAAATTGGGTTTACAGTTAGTTATCGAAAACACTAATTCATTGCTCAAAAAAAATTGATGAATTGGTAATATTGGTTAAAAGCACTAAAACTTATATCAAATAAAAACGTTCCATCAAAACTCTAAAATCAGCTGTTGTTTCTTATATAAACATACAATAAATGGTGATAACTCCAGTCCAGTCAAGTTTATAGTATTATCTACAGTTTAGTCTAAAGTCTTCACAATAGTCTAGTCCATAGTCTAGTCCATAGTCTAGTCTATAGTCTAGTCTATAGTCTAGTCTATAGTCTAGTCTATAGTCTAGTCTATAGTCTAGTCTATAGTCTAGTCTATAGTCTAGTCTATAGTCTAGTCCATAGTCTAGTCTATAGTCTAGTCTATAGTCTAGTCTATAGTCTAGTCTATAGTCTAGTCTATAGTCTAGTCTATAGTCTAGTCTATAGTCTAGTCTATAGTGTAGTCTATAGTCTAGTCTATAGTCTAGTCTATAGTCTAGTTTATAGTCTAGTCTATAGTCTAGTCTATAGTCTAGTCTATAGTCTAGTCTATAGTCTAGTCTATAGTCTAGTCTATAGTCTAGTCTATAGTCTAGTCTATAATCTAGTCTATAGTCTAGTCTATAGTCTAGTCTATAATCTAGTCTATAGTCTAGTTTATAGTCTAGTCTATAGTCTAGTCTATAGTCTAGTCTATAGTCTAGTCTATAGTCTAGTCTATAGTCTAGTCTATAGTCTAGTCTATAGTCTAGTCTATAATCTAGTCTATAGTCTAGTCTATAGTCTAGTCTAGTCTATAGTCTAGTTTATAGTCTAGTCTATAGTCTAGTCTATAGTCTAGTCTATAGTCTAGTCTATAGTCTAGTCTATAGTCTAGTCTATAGTCTAGTCTATAGTCTAGTCTATAGTCTAGTCTATAGTCTAGTCTATAGTCTAGTCTATAGTCTAGTCTATAGTCTAGTCTATAGTCTAGTCTATAGTCTAGTCTATAGTCTAGTCTATAGTCTAGTCTATAGTCTAGTCTATAGTCTAGTCTATAGTCTAGTCTATAGTCTAGTCTATAGTCTAGTCTATAGTCTAGTCTATAGTCTAGTCTATAGTCTAGTCTATAGTCTAGTCTATAGTCTAGTCTATAGTTAGTCTATAGTCTAGTCTATAGTCTAGTCTATAGTCTAGTCTATAGTCTAGTCTATAGTCTAGTCTATAGTCTAGTCTATAGTCTAGTCTATAGTCTAGTCTATAGTCTAGTCTATAGTCTAGTCTATAGTCTAGTCTATAGTCTAGTCTATAGTCTAGTCTATAGTCTAGTCTATAGTCTAGTCTATAGTCTAGTCTATAGTCTAGTCTATAGTCTAGTCTATAGTCTAGTCTATAGTCTAGTCTATAGTCTAGTCTATAGTCTAGTCTATAGTCTAGTCTATAGTCTAGTCTATAGTCTAGTCTATAGTCTAGTCTATAGTCTAGTCTATAGTCTAGTCTATAGTCTAGTCTATAGTCTAGTCTATAGTCTAGTCTATAGTCTAGTCTATAGTCTAGTCTATAGTCTAGTCTATAGTCTAGTCTATAGTCTAGTCTATAGTCTAGTCTATAGTCTAGTCTATAGTCTAGTCTATAGTCTAGTCTATAGTCTAGTCTATAGTCTAGTCTATAGTCTAGTCTATAGTCTAGTCTATAGTCTAGTCTATAGTCTAGTCTATAGTCTAGTCTATAGTCTAGTCTATAGTCTAGTCTATAGTCTAGTCTATAGTCTAGTCTATAGTCTAGTCTATAGTCTAGTCTATAGTCTAGTCTATAGTCTAGTCTATAGTCTAGTCTATAGTCTAGTCTATAGTCTAGTCTATAGTCTAGTCTATAGTCTAGTCTATAGTCTAGTCTATAGTCTAGTCTATAGTCTAGTCTATAGTCTAGTCTATAGTCTAGTCTATAGTCTAGTCTATAGTCTAGTCTATAGTCTAGTCTATAGTCTAGTCTATAGTCTAGTCTATAGTCTAGTCTATAGTCTAGTCTATAGTCTAGTCTATAGTCTAGTCTATAGTCTAGTCTATAGTCTAGTCTATAGTCTAGTCTATAGTCTAGTCTATAGTCTAGTCTATAGTCTAGTCTATAGTCTAGTCTATAGTCTAGTCTATAGTCTAGTCTATAGTCTAGTCTATAGTCTAGTCTATAGTCTAGTCTATAGTCTAGTCTATAGTCTAGTCTATAGTCTAGTCTATAGTCTAGTCTATAGTCTAGTCTAGTCTAGTCTATAGTCTAGTCTATAGTCTAGTCTATAGTCTAGTCTATAGTCTAGTCTATAGTCTAGTCTATAGTCTAGTCTATAGTCTAGTCTATAGTCTAGTCTATAGTCTAGTCTATAGTCTAGTCTAGTCTATAGTCTAGTCTATAGTCTAGTCTAGTCTAGTCTATAGTCTAGTCTATAGTCTAGTCTATAGTCTAGTCTATAGTCTATCTATAGTCTAGTCTATAGTCTAGTCTATAGTCTAGTCTATAGTCTAGTCTATAGTCTAGTCTATAGTCTAGTCTATAGTCTAGTCTATAGTCTAGTCTATAGTCTAGTCTATAGTCTAGTCTATAGTCTAGTCTATAGTCTAGTCTATAGTCTAGTCTATATAGTCTATAGTCTAGTCTATAGTCTAGTCTATAGTCTAGTCTATAGTCTAGTCTATAGTCTAGTCTATAGTCTAGTCTATAGTCTAGTCTAGTCTATAGTCTAGTCTATAGTCTAGTATATAGTCTAGACTATAGTCTAGTCTATAGTCTAGTCTATAGTCTAGTCTATAGCCTAGTCTATAGTCTAGTCTAAGTCTAGTCTATAGTCTAGTCTATAGTCTAGTCTATAGTCTAGTCTATAGTCTAGTCTATAGTCTAGTCTATAGTCTAGTCTATAGTCTAGTCTATAGTCTAGTCTATAGTCTAGTCTATAGTCTAGTCTATAGTCTAGTCTATAGTCTAGTCTATAGTCTAGTCTATAGTCTAGTCTATAGTCTATAGTCTAGTCTATAGTCTAGTCTATAGTCTATAGTCTAGTCTATAGTCTAGTCTATAGTCTATAGTCTAGTCTATAGTCTATAGTCTAGTCTATAGTCTAGTCTATAGTCTAGTCTATAGTCTAGTCTATAGTCTAGTCTATAGTCTAGTCTATAGTCTAGTCTATAGTCTAGTCTATAGTCTAGTCTATAGTCTAGTCTATAGTCTAGTCTATAGTCTAGTCTATAGTCTAGTCTATAGTCTAGTCTATAGTCTAGTCTATAGTCTAGTCTATAGTCTAGTCTATAGTCTAGTCTATAGTCTAGTCTATAGTCTAGTCTATAGTCTAGTCTATAGTCTAGTCTATCTAGTCTATAGTCTAGTCTATAGTCTAGTTTATAGTCTAGTCTATAATCTATAGTTCAGTCTATAGTCTATAGGCTAGTCTATAGTCTAGTTTAGTCTAATCAAGTCTATAGTCTAGTCCGGTTTAAAGTCTTGCCTATCTGCTGTAAGTCCTCAATTAGATGGCCTAACTGAAACAAAAGAAAGATAACATACGATCATCATTATGGACCCTTTAACAATGGGTCCATAAAGGGTTTATAATAACAGATTTTAAATATGATTTGCCAAAGGTATTCTTTGTAAAGTAATTAAATTCGTTTTGCAGTTTAGCAGCAAAGAAATTTAAATATTCTGTTTATAATTTGTGTTAAAACTGAATATGATAAGATTTCCGGAAAAGCAAAACTACAGTTCTTTTAGAAACACCGGATAAGTTAAACGTAAACATGGAGGATTTGGAAAATCAACCACCAAATGCAATTACTTTAGTAAAACAAGTAAACCCCTCTGAAAACCAAAAAGAACAGCCGTCCGAGGTTAAACAGGAAGTGGAAAAACTAAAAAAAGGAACGGGTTTTGACAATATTGAAACCACCATGAGTTTACGTTATTTGTTTAACGGTTTTCGTTTTCTGGGTGTCTATATGCCGAAAAAAAACAAGACCCTTTATATTATATGGTCTCTTCTTATCAATACTCTGGTTACCATTTATTTGCCGCTGGCTTTTGCTTTAAGCTTTATGACAATGTCGGGTGAGGAATTAGAAATTGGTAATCTTTTAACGTCGGTACAAGTGTTTATTAATGTTTTGGGTTGTTCTACAAAAATCATTTTAATGGCTTTCCTATTGCCCAAACTGTTGAGTTGTGAACCGGTTATTAGGAAATTGGATAAACGTTGTCATACACAAGAGGAAAGAGAATCCATTAAACGTATAATTAAGCAGGGCAATCGTTTTGTGGTTCTATTCTCCATTTCCTATTGGTCTTACTCCTCCAGTACGGGTATAAGTGCTGCTATATTTCATCGTTTACCGTACAACATCTACAATCCTTTAATCGATTCTAAGGTTTCTAATTTACACTACTATGCGGCGGTGTTTGTAGAATTGGCTATTATAGATGTGGCCTGTTTCCAGCAAGTTGTGGATGATTCTTATGCGGTAATATATGTCAGCATTTTGAGAACTCATTTGGATATTTTACTAAAACGTATTAAGAATATGAATGAGAATGCTAAGGTATCATTGCAAGAGAATTTCGAAGAATTAAAAATGTGCATAATTGATCACAAGAATATTATACAGTAAGTTTAAGGCTTCAGATAAAAACAAGCTTTTTTTTAATGAACTCTTCCTCCCCCCATCTCTAGACTTTACAATATAGTGGCTCCTGTTATTTCTATAACTATATTTGTGCAATTCACCATTACCGCCACCATATTAGGCACAACCTTAATCAATATTTTATTATTTGCCACCAATTTTGCTTCGATTGTTGCGTCGTGTTTTTATGTTTTGGCCGTAGTTGTGGAAATATTTCCCTTGTGTTATTATGCTCAGTGCTTGATGGATGAAAGCAATCGTTTGTCGGATGTTATTTTCCACTCGAATTGGGTAGACCAGGATATTCGCTATAGGAAAATGTTAATATTCTTTATACATCGTTCGCAGAAGACCATAGAATTTACGGCGGGTAAATTGTTTCCCATAACATTGAATAGTTTTTTGAGTGTAAGTATTTTTCAATGTTAATCAGATGATAGTAAAATTTAAACTATAGTCTAGTCTACAGCTTATGCTATGGTCCAGTCTATAGTCTAAAGTCTAGTCTATAGTCCTGTCTATAGTATAGTCTATATTCTAGCATACAGTATACTTTGCTTTTTCATAAACTTTCTTTTCTTTTAGATTGCCAAATTTTCCTTTTCGTTGTATACCTTTATTAAGGAAATGGGTATCAAGGAAAAGTTTAGCAGCAAATAATGGATATAAAAGTAAAAAAGTACTCAAAATAATTTTAAAATTATTTTGAAATTTAACAGCAGTTGAAAAAATATATACACCTTTTTATTTAGAAGCACGTGTTAATTAACATTTATGTAGTAGTGTTTAATGTTAATTCTTTTTTGCACAATAAATATTAAAAATAATATAAAATTAGTTTTTTTACAATAAATACATTTTTAACATTTTTCCTTTGAAATTCAAATATGAACGGATTACTTTTAAAATACAACCCTGAACAACCAGCAACAGCTGATATATTGTTAAATCACCCTGTGTTATGCTACGGACTACCCTGTGTTGTTTTGTTTACATTTTTTTTGCTAGAGAAAAAAAGCAAAACGTTTGTTGTGTGTGAAAAAAAACTAATTTCAGAAATATTTTTATAAAATTATCCTAGAAAAATGGGTCGTGCAGAAGTGGGAACTCCCAAATACTTGGCCAATAAAATGAAGGCCAAGGGTTTGCAAAAATTACGCTGGTACTGTCAAATGTGCGAAAAACAGTGTCGAGACGAGAATGGTTTCAAGTGTCACACCATGAGTGAAAGCCATCAACGACAATTGCTGCTCTTTGCCGATTGTCCAGGCAAATTCCTGCACAATTTCTCGCAAGAGTTCTCGGATGGCTATATGGAATTGTTGAGAAGACGCTTTGGTACCAAACGGGTCAATGCCAATAAGGTTTATCAGGAATATATAGCCGATAAAGATCATGTTCATATGAACTCTACACGCTGGCTAACACTTTCGGACTATGTCAAATGGCTGGGACGTACGGGCCAGGCCATAGCCGATGAAACGGAAAAGGGATGGTTTGTCACCTACATCGATCGCAGTCCCGAGGCCTTGGAACGCCAGTCGAAGGCAGAGAAAAAAGAAAAAATGGAAAAAGATGATGAGGAGCGTATGATGGAGTTTATCGAAAAACAAATAGAGAAAAATAAAAGCAAAGATGATAACGAAACAGAAGAAAAAGAAAAATATACTGAATTAAAACGAGATGAAGATCAACCTTTAAAGTTAGACATTAAATTAGAAAAGAAATTTCAACCGGAATCTAAATTGGGTACCTCAGCTCTACTGAAAAAACGTATTAAAGAGGAAGAGCAAGATTCTGATGCTGAAGAAGATTCAGATGGCTTTAAAAAACCTAAATCTATAAAATTGGAAACCAAACGTAAAGATAAAGATTCTTCGGCTGCTCCAAAATCAGCTTTAGATGAAATTATTAAAATGGAGGAAGAGAAAAAGGAGAAAACTAATCGTAAAGACTATTGGCTGCACGAGGGTATAGTGGTGAAATTCATAAGCAAATCATTGGGTGAAAAATTCTATAAACAAAAAGCTGTAGTACAGGAGGTTATTGACAAATATCGAGCCAAAGTGAAATTTTTGGAAACAGGGGAAAAAGTTAAAGTGGATCAGGTAAGAAAAGATTTTTATTCAGCTAAAAAAAAATAAAACTAATGCATTAAAACGTTTAAGGCTCACTTGGAGACAGTTATACCTGCCTTGGATAAGCTTGTTTTGGTGGTTAATGGCGCCTATCGTGGCTGTGAGGCGGTGCTAAAGAAATTGAATGAAAAAAACTATTGTGTTACAGTGGAAATTTCTAGAGGTCCTCTAAAGGGACGTATAGTGGACAAAGTACAATATGAAGATATATCAAAACTTTATTAAATAGATAATATTTGTGTAAATAGTTTTATAAGAATTTAAAAAATAAAAATATAAATAAAATTTAAGATATTTTCTTAATAAAAGATGAAGATATGAAACTTTATAATAAAATATAGTTCAGACACTATAAAGAATACTATAAACTGGAATATAGTCAAGACTTTAGAATAAACTTAGGCCAGATCATGAACATCGACTACACTATAATCTTGACTATATAGTACTGCTGACTATAAACTAATTTATAGTCCTGACTACAGTCAAAACTTTAGTCCTGACAACAAACTCAACTATACTCCTCAGTCTATAGTTCCTCATAATCATAGATTGTAATAATTGTTAAAAGAAATATGATAGAAATCTAACATTTTAATATGTATATATTATAAATTACATTTACAAATTGAACATACCTTATAAAAACACTGACATTTTCCCATAATTTAGATGAATTTTGAAATATATTTTAATCTTTTTTGATAGATTTCGATTACCAACAACTTTTCAGATATTAACCATTAGATTTCTTCAGGTATTTTCATTGTCTCTCTATTAATAACATTACATTACAATTTTATAAGAATTTACACTGTAGTCTTTAAAGTTATAATAATTTTTAAACTTTTTTGAACATAATTACCAAGTTTGTTGTAATATTTTGTTAATAGTTAACAAAAATGTTTAGATTTGGAGGTGATAAACTTTGATCAATTTATTATTTTATAAAAATTAACACTGTAGTTCTTTGGAATATAAAATATTTACAAATGTTTAATATAAAAAACAAGTTCTGTAGGTTTTTTATATTTTAAGGGTTTTGGGTAAAATTTCATTTAAATTTTTGATAAAATTATTAACTCATTCGAGGATTTTGGAAGGAAGGGGAAAAAAAACGTCAATTTTTTGGCCAGGATTCCAACGCGAAAGTGGTTACTTGTAACATTTTAAGAAAATCGAGGAAAATTTTATTTTTCCTTTAAATCTTGTTAGATTTATTATTCTTTTTAGATTTTTTATAAAATTTGATTTAGTTTTTAATAAAATTATTAACTTATTTAAAGAATTTTTTTAAAATACTTGAGGAATTTGGAAGGGTCTACTTGGTAACAATATTTTTTGGAAATTTACACTGTAGTTCATAAGATTATTAACTTTTTTTTACATTTTAATGTTTACTAAAATATTTAATAAGTTTTTGATTAATATTTTGCTTTAGTGTTGAAAACAACTTAAATTTTTGGCCGGGATTCCCTTGAGACTCTGTTGGCAGGTAAACTTTAAAGAAAATTGCAGCTTACATTGTAAATTTTTTTATTTATAAATATTTTCAATAAATCGAAATATTATTATTATATTCAGCTCGATTTCATTAAATATTTCATAAATTTATTAAGTTAAATGAAGTTTTTGGCCAATTTACTTGTCAGCCATTACAGGGCTGCAGTATTTGTTTTGTTTTACACAATATTTCACAAATTTTTTTCAAATCTTTTGTTTATTTTACAATTTATTAACTACTTCATCTTATACTTAATGTTTTTATTACTTTTATTGCACAATAATTACAGTTTTTATTAATTTAAATGAATTTTCCTGTTTATGCAAATTTATGCTTGATCACTGTCTTTAAAGAAAACTTTCACACACACACTAATACATAAGTATGCATAAAGTTAAGCGCGAAAAAAGGAATACAAACTACCAAGGCGACTAAATTTTACGGCGTTGGAAACTGTTTTACAAAGAGGAAATGTGTTGTAAATAGCTTAAAGAAAAATATTTTAAATGCAAGGAATTAAATGTTTAACATGAATCATTATGAAAATTTAATAATTGTAGAAAAGGAATTTTACAAAGAATTAATTTTTTAGAGTTGTTTTGAGAAGCACAAATCTTGACGCCGTCATTTTTTTAATTGATTCGCGGCATAGATTAGTGGCAAAATCTCTTGAGGATGTTGACAAAAGTAACCGTAATTTTTTAGTTGTTTACTTTTATCTGTTATATATTTATAATTTTAGCGTTTTTTGTTCATATTAAGTAAATAAAATTGTAATTAATGACGTAATTTAAGTGTGGGGATTAAATTAAAAAATTGTAAATTTTTATTGCTACATATTTTAAAATTTTAGTCGCAGCCTTGCTTTCAAATTCAAATATTAACAGATTTACTACATTAAAATATAACCCTGATCGATAAGAACAGCTAACATATTGTTACATCGCCCTGTGTTAATGTTAACGTTATGTTATGATCTACCCTGTGTTATTTTGTTTACATTTTTTGGTAGAGGAAAAGGCAAAACGGCCGTTGTGTGTGAAATAAATAAAATTTTAGGATATACTTTTATAGAATTATACTAGAAAAATAGGTCGTGCAGAAGTGGGAGCTCCCAAATACCTAGCCAATAAAATGAAGGCCAAGGGTTTGCAAAAATTATGCTGGTACTGTTAAATATGTGAAAAACAGTGTCGAGACGAAAAGGTTTGCAAGTGTCACACCTTGATTGAAAGCCATCAACAACAATTGCTGCTCTTTGGCGATTGTCTAGGCAATTTCCTATATGAAATGTCAATGCCAATAAGGTTTATCAGGAATATAAAGCCGATAAAGATCATGTACATATGAACTCCATATGCTGGCTAACACTTTCGGACTTTGTCAAATGGCTGGGACGTACCGAAGATGATTCAGAAAACCCAAATCTATAAAATTGGAAACCAAACGTAAAGATAAAGATTCTTTTGTTGCTCCAAAATCAGCTTTAGATGAAATTATTAAAATGGAGGAAGAGAAAAAGGAGAATTATTACATTTCTTGAGGTATTTTCATTGTCTCTCTATTAATAGCATTGCATTATGCTAGAAGTATATAATTAATCAAACAGAAATTGAAAGACTTCAGTTTTATTCGAAATTTTTTAAGAATTTACACTGTAGTCTTTGGAATATAAAATGTTTAAAAATTTTCAATTTTTGGGTTTTTACATTTTAAAGGTTTTGGGTAATATTTCATTTAAATTATTCATGAAATTATTAACTCATTCGAAGAATTTTGTTAAAATACTTGAGGATTTTGGAAGGGATCACTTGGTAACACTATTTTATGTATATTGACACTGCAGTTCATAGGATTATAAATTATTTATACATTTGTATGTTTATTAATAAATTTAATATGTTTTTGATTAAAATTTTGCTTTAGTTTTGGAAAAAACTGGGCTGGGATTCCCTTGCGAAACTGGTTACTTGTAACATTTTAAGAATCGAGGAAAACTTTATTTATTTTGTGATTTTCTTTTAAATCTTGTTTAATTTATTATATTTTTTAAGAATTTTCATTTAGAGATTTAGTTTTTAATAAAAGTATAACCTTATTCGAATAATTCTTTTTAAATACTTGAGGAATTTGGAAGGGGCCACTTGGTAGCAATATTTTATGGAAATTTACACTGTAGTTCATATGATTATTAACCTTATTTATACACTTTAATGTTTATTAAAATATTTAATAAGTTTTTGATTAACATTTTGCTTTAGTTTTGGAAAAAATTTATATTTTTGGCCGGGATTCCCTTGAGACTCTGCTGGCCGGTAAACTTTAACGTAAATTACAGCTTGCATTGTAAATTTTTTGATTCATATAAATGTTTAATAACTCGAAATATTATTATTATTTCCTGCGCAATTTCGTTAAATTTTTTATCAATTTATTTAGAAATGATGATTTTGGCCAATTTACTTGTCAGCCATTACAGGGCTGCAGTATTTGTTTTGTTTTACACAATATTTCACTAAATTTTTTACAAATCTTTTGTTTATTTTACAGTTTATTAACTACTTCATCTTGTACTTAATGTTTTTATTACTTTTATTGCAAAATATTTACAGTTTTTATTAATTTAAATGAATTTTCCTGTTTATGCAAATTTATGCTTGATCACTGTCTTAAAAGAAAACTTTCACACACACTAATACATAAATATGCATAGAGTTTAGCGCGAAAAAAGGAATACAAACTACCAAGGCCACTAAATTTTACGGCGTTGGAAACTGTTTTACAAAGAGGAAATGTGTTTCAAATAGCTTAAAGAATAATATTTTAAAGGGAAGGAAATAAATGTTTAAATTGAATAATTTTGAAGATTTAATAATTATATTAAAGGAATTTTAGAAAAAAAATTATTTTTTTCCAAGTTGTTTTGAGAAGTACATATTTTGACGCCGTTTTTGGTAAAACTCATTTGCGGCTTAGCTTAGTGGTAAAATCTCTAACTATGTTGACAAATGTAACGGTAATTATTTGTTTGTTTTTAAAAGGTATACCTTTTTCGGCAGTATTGCCAATTTAGCGCTTTGTTGTTTGTTTATATTAGGTAAATAAGGCTGTAATTAAGGAAATAATTTAATAAATAATAATTTATAAATATAATTACAGTTTTTAAAGTTATTTAATGAAATTCTTTTAATTTTGTTGTTTCTAGAATTAAGGCTAGGTTTAGGTTAAGGCCATGCCATGCCATGAGTGATGTATAATAAATTATTTGAAGAATTTTCAAAAAGAAGGGTCTGGATTGTTCTATATCATGAAAGAATGTTTTATTACAACAAATTGTTCTTAATTGTTTTCAAAATTTAATATTATTCGCTTGAAATATAAAGGAAATATTAACAACAATTTATTTATAGCTTATAATTAAAAATAAATTAGCTAATGACGTGTTAATTAAATGTTATTAGAATTTTTCAAAAACAATGATTCATGGTTGATTGAGTTGTTATTGCATTTTGTTTTTTAACATATTCTTATGAACCTTATTAATCAAAACAGAAAGCGACCGGCCCCTTTTTCATTGTAAACATTAGTTCTATTTAACAACCCTCAGTTAAATGCATAATTAATTACAATACTACATTTTACAATTAATTTGCTTTAAATACTACAAATCTATATTTATTTTTCTACAACGATAACAATTTTACGTTGAATTAAAATTATGAGAATAACAAAAATATTTTCATTCATTTGTACTATATAACAAGTATTTTCTAAGATATTTATTTGTTTGTTTTATTATTAAACGGAAAATTCTTGTTAAATGTTTACGTCAAAACAATAAAACAAAACAGTGATCAATATTATCGCCTGATTCTCTTATATGCAAAAAATTTTAAATATACATATGTATATTATTGCAATTTTTTCCCAAAAAGAAATGTGCAGACTTTTATCAGGCCATAAATTCTACTAGGGTTTTTTTAATGAGGTCTATAAATTTTTACAATATTTCCCACTTTATTATAGAAAAATCTGGCTAATTGTTTGAAAAATGTGTCTATGATATAGTAGATTAAATAGTTAATACCACTTTTTCAAGTGACACGCTTAGTTTTTCATAACGTTTCCTATTAATTGTTTAAATCAATTATTTCCACCATTAAAAAAAATTCCTTTGTGCATAATTAATTACTTAAATGTGTTTGAATATTGATTTTTTAATAGGGTAATGTAAACAATTAAAAGGCAAAAAAAATTCTGAATAAAAAACCCATGACCCAAATTTATTTTAAAACTTCTAATAGGTTTAAAAAAAAGTTAAATAAGAAGTTAATTTTAACATTTTTTCTTGAATTTTATAATTAAAATTTCTTAAGTGTTTCTTAACTTTATTTCTTTTTAGTTTTTTAATAAAATTTTTAAGTTTTTAAGAAAAATTTCAGTTGATTTTATTTACATTTCCTAAAAATAATATTTTTGCCTTAGAAACCCTTCAATAACAATATTTGCAATAAATATTTTACAAAAATTCAAACAGTTGCTTTTTTCTAAAATTCAAATAGAATACTTTTATTTAACAATATCGACCTTAAATGTTAAGATTTCCTTAAAAAAGAACATATTAGTGATTTTTGCAATTTGACTTTACTGTCATAGAGAGATTGCTCTTAAAATGGCTAATTAACCGTTATATTTTTGTTTACATTTATTGAAAGGATTAACATTGTAGCGATTTTTTGTTATTGTGTTAAAGTGTTTACGAGTTTAATTTAACGAAATTTATGAAAATTTTTGTTGCCATTGGCTCTTTTAAGTTCCAAATTAATCATAATTGCTTTTTTTAGAACATTTCTAAGAACAACCAAAAAAAAAACAAAACATACGATCATCGACGTCAATCATGTAGACATAATAAAATTAAAAGTTTATTATGCATTTTAAACAAAAGACCTTTTCGAAAATTTAGAAAAAATCACCTAAAGATGAGAAAAAAGAAAACAAACAATCGGAGATAACAAAATTAACCAGACAGAGAAAGAGATAGCAAAAAATTGTAAAAAATAACTTGAGGAAATTTGTATTAAAAAGAACAAAGTCCAAAAAAACTGTATTTATTAAATACGTCAAATTATATACTTCCAGAAATACACATATTTCAATTCATTAACTACGTGTTTTTTCTTTTAGCAACAAACTAAGATTTTCTTTTGAAATTTGAAATTTTCTAAAACTAATTGGTCTAAGTTCTTAATCAAAAATAACCTTTGGCTTGTTTTTTTTTTTATTTTAAATAACACACTTTTTTTTATTAAGTTTGAATAAATACTTGTGTTTTTGATTTTATTAAGTACTTTCTATTATTTTATTATATTAAATAATATACATCATAATATTTTAAAACTACTGTATAATAAAAATTCTATTTATAACATTTAAATTAATAAAGAATGTTGTTTGTTGTTAAATATTTGTTGTTTGTTAAATATTTGAAAAATCTCTACTTAAACTACTCTAATAATTTACTTAATAAATTCGTTGTTTTCCTAGGGATTTAATTAAAATTCATCATGAATTTAGAATGTTTAATGGTATTTTTTTAAATAATAAAATTTAATTAAAATTAAAGCTTATCAGTTAAATATTACAACTAAAACATTCTCATTGTCAGTGCTATTTTTTTTTTTTTTTTTGATAAAATTATAAAAATAAAACTATTTTAAAAAATATAATTACAATATGATTAATTAGACAAATTTTCAGGGTATTTTTTTCTTTTTGTTAAGACCAGCATATAGTTTTTGATGATGTTAAGCCTGTGGCTGACAGCTGTAAAGATAAAAAATAAAAAATATATGTATAAAATTAATACATAAACCATTTTTTTTTTAATTAAAATATAGATAAAACTCATAAAGAATGCTTTTAACGTAAAATTCATATTAACAAAAAATAAAAAAATATATATATTTAAAAATGTCTTGTTTGTTGAACTTTTTCTTAAAACTGCTTTAATTTATAAGAATTATCTTTAAAATTCATTTGTTTATAAATATTTTCCTTTAAAAAGCTTAGTTTTTATGAAAAATCAACAAATAGTTAAAAAACTCTTGAATTGCTTTTTAAAATTTTATATTTATTTGATTATTATTAAAAAATACTATATTTTACTTAAAAAACTTTAATTATTTAAATTTTTTTAAAACTCTTAAATTCTGCTTAAAAATTCCTGTTAAAAAATCTCTATATTGTCAATACTGTAAATAGAGTGATAGATCCTTTTTATTTAAACTTGGTTGCACTCGTTTGCTTTTAACGAATATGTTTTCATCCTAAAACGTAGTTTAAAAACAATACATTGTTAACACTGTTTAAAATGACAGATCCTTTATTATTTATACTTGGCAGCACTTTTATTGCTTTAAAATTCCTATTCTAACGGTAATTTTATATTTTAATTTATAAAATTGTTCTATTATATAAATTTAATGTTATTTATAGTTCTTTTTGTAACGTCATTTATTAAATAAACACGCCATATTGTGGTTTATCCTAATTATATTTATAAATATAACAATTGTTATAAAATATTTAATTAATTACTCACCTTAATAATATAATTTCTATATATTGGCCTTAATTTGCAGGCAACGTTAGAAACTTTTAATGCAATTGAAAATTTGACCAATTAGCAGCGGCGTTGAGAAAAAAAAAAAAAACAAATGTAAACAAAAACAGCCGATGAGTTTAATACCCTATAGCCAGTTAAGAGGGTGTTTGAGTTAGTTTTAAACGTGTTTAAGTACTTTTGTTTTACATACATATGTATATAGGAAACTATTTTGTTTTCTTTCTTTAATTATAACTTATTGATAATATTATTTAAGAAAAAAATAAATGAGGTTTTAATGAGACTTGAGAATTTGTTCAGTTAGACACTTCATGGAAGCGTTATTTTCTTGTTTCGTTGTTTCCTTCACCATTTAATACTTTTTATTATTTCTCAAATAAGCCTTTTGCTTAATATGCTCTTTAAGACAAGTGCCATCCTTGGCACGCTGTTGACACACCACCTCCTTGGCCAAAACAAAACATTGGGTTTGAACTAGATTAAAGAAAAGTTTGCCTATAGTATTGGCATCTTCATCACTAGCCATTTTTAGGCAGGTGCGAAAACGACGATCACAATTACAATGCGACAAAGTATAGGGACGATAATTGAAAAGATCAAAACGATTACTCATGGCTGGTATATAGAGTTTGCAATGATCATGGGTGCGACAGCATTTATCAGCCATAGAGGCACCACCCAAATGATTATAGGTACCATTAGCCGTATTACCACGACCACACCAGCGGGTATTGGGCGCGATTAAGAAGTCCGACAATTGACGCTTCTGGCGTGAGTGTGTAGGGGCTTTTAAAGAGTCGTCTTCCGTCTTAATATTCTCCTCTGTTGTCAATACGTCATTATTATGTGTATTTTGTTCTGCTGCTGCTAAACCAGTTGGTTGTGCCTCCAAATTCTTCTCATGCATAAGGTTTGTGCGTTTTTTTGCACTTACCACGACGTCATCATCGATATCGTATGATTTTTTCTGCGTTGGTATGAGTTTGAGTTGGTGTGCATTTTTTGCCTGCTGTGCATTAAATACAATTTGTTGGCCATCATCATCATCATCAGCGTCATTATTATCAATATTATTTAATTTAAGCAGATATCTATCTTCAATTGTCTGTAAAATCTTTCCTAATGGTTTTTCAACACCAAACTGCTCCTCATTTATTTGTTTGTTATCAGTATGTTCTGGAACATATATTGTCCATACCCAAGATATGTAAATTGTAACGATAATTAATAAATTTAAAATTTTCTTCATTTTTCTAATGAATTTTTTAATTCCCAATTCTCTTAAAACTCTTTGCTTTAGTTTTTTTTTAATAAATTCAAATACTTTTTTAACCGTTATTATTATTTCAATGTTTTTTATTGTTCTTGTATGTTTTTAATTGCTTTATTAGCACCACTTAAGCGTTTGCCTATAAAAAAAACACTCCAATACACTTCCTTCACTTTAGTGCGTTTAATCGTATATATTCTTTTTTATTCTTTAATTTTCACACGTTCTCACGTTCACGTTCAATTATAGACTGTCCCTGGCTATCATTCGATGGTTCAATTTATATAAACGACCATAAATATTGGTTCCAGTGTTGTTAAAATTAGCGTTTTTTTTCTGCTATGTATAATAAATTATTAAAAATTCTAGCGATTAATTATTTTAAGGTGGCCAAAGCTAAAAAATAAAAGTTTTGACAAATATAATTTCTAGTATACACCTCATATAAAGCTAAAAATTTTAAAAATAATGCAAATAATTTAGAAATGTTTCGTAATAAATCAAATTTTGGTATTTTTTGCTTATAAGTATAAAGTATACAACACTATTCTCCTATGTTCCCTTCTCACTTCCGCTCTGTTTAAATATTTCTTAAAAGAGTTGCCAGATTAGGCAATTTCATATGGCAGTTATGCTGGCAGCTCTATGTTTTTGTTTGGTTGTGTTTTTGTCAATTGTTTTGTTTTATTATAAAAAAGAATAAACAGCCGGTTTAATCCAAAGAAATTAGATTAAAGTGTTGTTATGTGCAATAATAATATTAAAATCTCAGTAATGTTTATTTATAAAACAAATTTAATTGATTTTTAAAACTATCAAATTTGTAATTAAGGCTGAGGCACCCTGTTATATTTGTTTACATATACAATTTGCAAAGTAAAAAAACAGATGACACATCGTCTCGCTCTCATTTACATGATAAATGTCAACATTAATTAGCAAAACAAAAGAAATCAATAATCATTTTTTTACAATTTGCAAATACATTTTTCTTCCTTAAGAGCACAAAAATAGCATTAAAAAATACAAGTTTTTTTTAGAATTTTTACAAAAGTTTTTGAACAATTTTACCAAATTTAAACAAGCCAAAAGAAAATTATACATTTAAAAACGAAACAAACAATAAAAATGCAAGATGGTAGACAAGCAGCACAACAGTATCAGGAACAAGTATTACCCGAGCGTATGGCCGAAATGGAAGTGACCCAACGACCTCAACCACCACAAAGACTAAATCTCAAGAATTCATTGGCGTCGAGCAGAACTAATAGCAATGATGAGACTGAACCGGAGGCCAGATATGAATGTGCCATTTGTATGAGTTGGTTAAAGGAACCTGTGCTAACTACTTGTGGTCATCGTTTTTGCAAAACCTGCTTGAACAATTGGCTGCGCAAAAAGAATCAATTATGTCCCATGGATAATCAGAAACTAGAGGTGGATAAAGATGTTTTTCCGGATAACTATACGCGCCGTGAAATACAACAGATTAAGTTAAAGTGTGAGCATAATAAGACGGGTTGCACATTTATAGGTTCGCCCTTGGAAATGGAACAGCACAAGCTAGAGTGCCCCTATCGCTGTGAGGAGGAGCCCAGTGAGGAAAAGTGTCCCTTTGCCAGCATTAAATGTGATTTTGTGGGACGCCCCGAAACCAATGCCTTGGAAATGCATTTAAAAGAAGATATGCCACATCATTTGCAATTAATGTTGAGATCTTTACAAAACACAGCCATAGCCAGCTGGAATCCACAAAAACCTGCTAGAGGACAAAATGGTAGTGGAGCAGAGGGAGCTCTGCCACCACCACCACAATATGCCAATGGTGATGGCGTGGTTAGTGAGGAACAACTTATACAGGCCATGTATCAGCGTATAGTGGTCTTAGAGCAAAGAGCCTTCGAGCAAGAAGTCAAAATAGAAAATCTTACAAAACAACTGGTGGAGACACACCAACAAGTGGATGCCCGCTACAGCAATGGCACCATAGTCTGGGAAATTCGAAATTTTCAAAATCTTATAAATTACCTGCGTTCCAATGCCAGTCATCTAAAATACTCCCCCGAATGTTATACTTCACCCTATGGCTATAAATTCTGTGCCCGTCTCAATATACAACCCCGTAATACAAATCTTTTAAGTTTGCACGTCCATCTAATGCAATCAGAAAATGATATACACTTGGAATGGCCCTTCATAGGACGCATTAAGTTGTGTATGGTTCATCCCAGAGACATGAAGCTATCACAACACGATACCATTATGACAAAACCAGAAATTTTAGCTTTTCATCAGCCGCGCGAACGTATTAGTGCCCGGGGTTTTGGTTTTGTGGAATATGCCAATATAGCGGATATCGTTAAGAGGGGATTTTGTGAGGATGATCGTTTACTTATTAAAATACAAATAAATTTAGTCTAAATTCAAAAGTAAGTAAATAGGTTTGTAAGGTATTTAAAAGGAATTGCTTTTAACATAAGGCATTAAAAGGAATTGTAAGAGAAAGTTTATAAAAATTAAAAAGAAAATCCTAAAAATAGAAATTCTAACCTCAAATTTGATAAAAAAAAAATGTTAAGGTTAGAATTAAAAACAGAAATTTATAAAATTGAAAGCATTCCCCTCAGTTTTAAATAAATTTTAAAACCATAAAACCTTTAGAAATAGTAAAAGCTAAATAAAGTAAAAAAGAAATATAACCTACAAAAACCAACAAGAAATGTACAATATTATTGATATACACAAGCAAAAAAGGAGGATTAAAAAAAATCATACAAAAAGACTCTTGCTAAAATCTCCTCATAAAAAAAAATTTTGTAGAAAATTTTATTATAATAAAATCCTGGCTAAAGCAGTGCCAAATTTTAACTCCATACAAAACCAACAAATATAGACTTAACATAATGAGCCAAATTTACAGGAATTTATAAAGAAACTCTAACAAATAACATTTTTTTTTTTTTTTGAAACAAATCTCAAAAACTTTTAAATATTTAACAACAAAAGCATTTAAACTTTAAAGGCATATAAAAAGCACTATTTTCTATTAAATAAACAACATATTTTTAATACCAAACACCCTAAAACATTAACTCACTAAACATTTTTTAAAACAACTAAATAAATATTCAAAAAAAAAAACAACTTAAAATATTTAAAAACTATTAAACTTTTCAATAATTTTCATTTATTAAATAATCTCTAAGGTCCTGCAAACAATTTGAAAATTTTAGTATTTTATATTTTTTTAAGAACTTATCTTTAAATCAATATCATATCATATTTTTTTTCCAAAACATTCCCTTTTAATTTATTGCTAAATTTAAGAAATTTTTAAAAATTTTTTGTCCCAAGTTTTAGCAGTTTATAAAAGAAAGTCAGTCCATTTATTGCTGTAAGTCATTGTTTATACATATTTATATATAAAAATATATATAGTATTTAATAATCGTACTTAATTTTTATGTTTTAGCTGTGTAATTATTAAAAACAAAAAACAAATAAAATTTATGTTATAAAACAGAAATGAATAATAAGGAAGATTTTAATTCAAAAGAACCACTGTAAATAGTACATACAACAACCTATAGTATAGACTACAATCTAGTCGATACAATAGGCGATAAAGTTTAGTATATTCAACAATCAAGTCTAGCTTATAGTAGAGACTACAATCTGGTCTATTTATGGTCAAAAACATAGTATAGTCAAAAATTAA